CTAGGCTACCCAACCTCTCACAGCAAGGAAGAAATGGCAACTCCAGAAATTCCATCGCCCAAGGAAAGACCTCTGTGGTATCTGGGATTCTTACCGGTATCTGTTTCTCAGAAGGAGCCCCTGCAAGAAAGGTATGATCAGCACATAACGGAGAAGGTGGAAGTACGAAAGAGGAAAGAGAAAGCCAAAGTGAAGGCACAAGAGAATAGAGAATTCTGCGCAGCTGTATTTGACTTGCAACAGGTTATCTACCTCCCTCAATCTAAGAGAAGCAGGCTGTTTTATAAGAGGCGCCTGGCTAATTACAATTTCACTGTGTATAATCTTGCTTCCAAAGAGGGTACATGTTATTCGTCGCATGAAGGACAGACACGAGGTGGAGCTTGTGAGATAGCTTCCAATCTGCATCGATTTCTCATTGAGGAAGATGCCAAGGGAGTCAAAGAAGTAAAAAATTTTGTGCCGGTTGCGTCGGACAAAATAATAACTCAATACTTCACTCAATGATGCTATCATTCTTCAACAAGTCAGCTAATGTTGAGAAGATTTGCATCAACTACTTCGAGACTAACCATGGCCAGTCTGAGGGAGACTCCATGCACAGTGTGATTGAGCGGCGCAGACAGACATTTTCTTGCCTGCGCAACTTGCCTCTCTGTGCCGTATGGCAAAAGAGACGCCCCCGAGGTACAACGCTGTGGCTGTCCATGCAACAGATGTCATTGACTGGAAAACATACATTCAGAAAAGGGGAGGGGAGTTCTGAGGGTGAGGTCACCTATGGATTGGACAAACTTCAAGTCTATTAGGATGAGCAAAGAAGAAGTGGACACAATCTACTAGAAGTCCAGAAGTAGTGGTCAAGAGGAAATGCTGGAACCACAGAGCCTCTACGAAGGAGGTCCACCAAAAATAGCACAAGCAAAATTTGAAGACCTCATGGCCTTGTGTTGCCAACAAAACCCAGTCGTCTCACACCCAGATGTTCTATAAAACTGCCACAATAATCTTAACCTAACACAAAAACTAACTCCTCCCTGAACAATTTATCATAATTTCATAACCAAGAATTATCTCAAGATTTCGTCAAGCCATCATATTATCATATTAATCCAAAACCAATGATTCTGTGAGCTAGTGAGGAGAAAGCTCTATACTCTCAGGCCTTGCCAGTTGCATTGGGTGACTTTCTGGTTGATGTATATTACTACTTGGACAAAAGGAGTAAACATATCAAAGGAGTGAAAGCACTGCAAGAACTCTGTGATGCCCCTACACACAGGATTCTGAAGCGTGTAACAAGAAGATGGTTGTCACTTGGTCAGTACCTAGACAGGCAGATTGAATAGTAAGAGCCACTTTGGCACTTCTTCAAAGAAGGATAAAGCCGATAAAAGCCATAACATCAAGGAAAAAGAACACGGCTGTATCTACTGGAACTGCAGCATCTGTAGCTACATTAAGCACTCGTGGAGCGAGAGTTATCGCTACCATTAATTTATCCTCTGCCTCAAAACAGACATCAGGGACAGAACCAAAATCAATGGTGAGAGCAGGTAGCAGCACCGGTCCTTCAAGTTCATCTCTTAGAGAGCAGATCCCTTCAGAGTCAAGAAAAACTGTACTCCAATCTACAGGCAAAAGAGGACCCAACTTAAGTTCTGCTTTTGCTAAGTCAGAGACCTACTCCTTCCTTGGCTGCACCTAGCTCAAGCTCTCACCTCAAGCGTAAAATTGAATCTGGTACTCCGACCTCTTCTGCTGGCAGTAAACGCAAGTCTAATCGGCCTGCAGCTACAGTAAGTGTGCTACTACAACTAAAAGTGCATCTTCCTCCCACACCTTGCAGGAATCTAGAGAAAAACGTCCTAACAGAATGTTCTTGTCACCTCAAACAAAACTCTATCTTCCTATGAGAAACATCTATTGCATTCGAAAATGCATAAGTCAGAGAAGTCTCTTGCTAGTTTCATCACTAATCAAATGGTCTAACCTATGGAAAAAGTCCATGTAAAGGTGAAATACAGGAAATACCAATGAGGACTGAGCTTCTTTGTGGTAGAAAAGACAGAATACTTGATGTTGGTAGGGATTGGCTAGCAATAATACCTCTGAACTGGGGGTCACTCGTGTCTCAGTTCAGGAGTACACAGGACAAAGGACATAGGTCAAATGTCCATCGGGAGAGTGTGCTTGATAGGGTCCTAGAGTGTCGTGCTAAAGTTGTTCAGGGGATATCAAGTACTGGTAGCCACACAAGCCTTTGGCCTTGGAGTTAACATCAAGTCTATAGGATGGATCATTCACATTGGCTGCCAGAAGAACATTCCCCAGTGGGTACAACAATCTGGAAGAGCTGGCAGAGATGGAAAGCCGGCAAGTGCTGCCATCTTCTTCTCAAAACATGCCAATCTTCAAAGAATGAAATTCTGGGTGAACGATGCCAAAGATCATGCTGAGAAGAGCATGAAGATCGAAGACTTCAAGAAAGTATGGCATTATATATATATATATAGTGCAATGGCTGGGATTCGCCTACACCATCAGCAGAAGCTGTACTCTGGAGAAGATGATGAGCGGGTATAAGCACATGCTGAAAACAATGTCTGCTGTGATGGCTGTAAACTGAAGAGTGGGAAAAAGTATGATGCCACTACAGATGTGAAGGCAATAACAGATGACCTGCAAGAGCTTCAGGATTTGGGCATGAAGTGTGTGACAGAAAGAAAACTTGTAAAATGGCTAGAAGGTAAAGAGCAAGACTGGGTGAAAGACATGACTAACAGAGACGTATTGGAGAAGTCTCCAACCTTTGGCAGCAAAAACAAATACCAGAGTAAGCTGCATGTTGTGCTAAGGCAGGCAGTTGGACGGGACATTGTGTCTTTGGTCATCCTTTTCACAAAGGTCAAAGGGCATTGGAACATTGTCACCAAATACTTTGCCTTCAGTGATGAGAACAAGTCGGCATTAAGTCACAGCAAAGCCTTGTTTCTCCCACACCAGGAGGATATTCAGAAGCACCTGACAAGATTCACAGGGAAAGGAGAATGTAAAAACCCTTGTAAAGAGAAGATCAGGAATCAAGGGCAATCACATTCTCATTTGGATCTTAGAAGATGGAGACTGGGAGCCCATCACAAAGAAAGAACACTACATCAATGTAGGCTTTGATGGGGGCCTTAACACCTTGCTATATGCAGAGGATTTCAGTAATCTCCCGGGGTGCCCAGTTTCTCTGAACAAGGAAGATTTCCTATGGAACGATGTTGTGATGGGAAAAGGGTCAGGCTTCCCCAAGAAGAAGCTGGAAGTCGTAATAAGAGGAGAAAATACATCAGTCTTCATTAAGAAGAATTGTTGTTCTGGAATCAAAAAGTGCAGTGGGGATGAGACAAAACAGACAAAATAGATGTCTTCGTCACCAAGATAGTCTACTTCAAGAAACAGGGAAAATGCCCAGGAATTTTTGTTTATATTCGTCCTGCACAGATTACAGATAAAAGAAGATGGCTGGGATTCTTAAGTTATCTTATTAATGAGAACTGTTGATGAGCTCATGCCTGTAGGTGTACTACCTGTCAGCTTCCACCATTATTATTATTATTGGAGATTGTATGTATGCAGATGGCCTATAATCAAACTAACAAGTTGTATCTCTTCATGTCCTTTATGTGCATTGTCAAGCTATTTGAATTTTTTCGTCAACCAAATATAAACCAGATTGAATTTTGAATATTTACATTGAAAACAAAAGGTCTACCGGTACCTCTATTTTTACAGAAAGCAATGGACATGGAAATGCCACAAGGAAATGCCACAATCACAACTCCAGTGAAGAATCCACTTGATGTGGTGGCAGAACCAGTAACAGCTGTAGTAGGCATGCAGCAACCAGCAAAGAAACTAAGGCTGGAATTTGTAAGTAATTTGGTCATTCGTATATCTAGATACTATTATATATGTGCTTAATTAGTTCTTTTTAAAGAAGTTCCTTGTCTGCCACCCTTGTGGTTCTTATCTTGATTTCAATTCTTGAGGTACATTACCAAATTTGCCTGAAACTTTGTTCTTCCCATGTGTCTTTATTTATATAATTTCTTTTAGTAATTTGTGTCAATTTTTGTTCTGTGTGTATCTGTTTAGCTTGAATTTGCAAGTCAGTAATGAAATCCCAGAGTGGTAAATGTACAGGTTCTGCCTCTTAATACAACCAATTGAAGTTTAAAAAAATGTTAACTTTGATGTGACATAATATCGAGTATCATGAAAACAATTATAGATTTGTATTCATTTTGATTTCTACTGTGATTCTTAATTCAAGGATGTACGGGCAATACTGACGAGGAGAATTGAAGGGGAGACTCTGATCAAAGAAATGGAGGAAGGTTTGCTCAGTTACACCCTTGCCTCTAATATGATCAAAAACTATGGCAAACAGTAAGCTCTATCTACATTTTCTGTGTCCTCTATTTTTGTCAAATATGAAATTACATTGCAAGCAATCAGAGCAGGCGCGTACGCAGGATTTTTTCAAGGGGGGGGTTTTAACATTTATAAATCGGTCCGAAAATTTCGCAACGACTCAGCCAGCCGCTGAATAAGCGGGGGGGGGGGGGGGGGGGGGGGGGGGGTAAGAGGACATATTTTTTTTTTTTTTTGGTCCCAAAAAAATCGCAACGACTCAGCCGACCGCTGAATAAGCGGGGGGGGGGGTAAGAGGACACTTTTTTTTTTTTTTTTTGGTCTCGAAATTTGGAAATTTGACATTTTGCTCCGTTGGGGGGGGGGTAAGGTCACCTTTTTTAGGTCGGCCATGGGAATAATTTTTTTTTTTTAATAATTAAAAAAAAAAAAAAAAAAAAAAAAAAAAAAATCCAAAAGGGGGGGGGGGGGGGTTTTAGGTTTTTTTTAGGGGGGTTTACACACACAAAATTTCCAAAGGGGGGGGGTTTAACCCCCCAAACCCCCCCCCCCCCCTGCGTACGCGCCTGAATCAGAGAGTATGTTTTTTTTAACTAAACTGATGTGTTGTTGTGAAAGTTTGCAAAGTTGGATTTAGCTCAATTATGCTTAATTATAATATATGTATTTGTAAATGTCCAGCACGACCGATTGTTTATGCTCAATATGGAACACTCTTTCTCAAGTGATCAGAAATAGCAGTAATAAGTTGAAATAACTTCAAAAGTACCCGTATCTGTTAATTTGGCATATAATTATTTCTCTCTTATTGCATCTTTCTCTATTTGTTATGTGATCTTTTGCACAGGTTGCGCCTTGAGCATTTGATTATCATGTTGATCTAGTGCCTTACAAATCATGTTTATTATTTATATCATTGTAATTCTCTCTTGGTAACCATGTGTTCAGTTGAATAGTGATTTTTTAAATTGTGTCACAATGCCTTCTTATTCCAACAGTTTCAAGTCACATGTCAAACTGGCCTTGGCCAAAGCTATTACCGAGCAGTTTCCACTCTTGGATAACAAGGACGGTGATGGTTATGTAAGTCTATGTCATGTTCCGATTTAAGGAAAATATCATCGTGCTCATAACATAAAGGTCATTAGAGTGCGGACATAGACGCACAAAAGAATTATAAAGAAATGTAGACAGTAAACCATATGTGATACTTGGTTTACATTTGACCCGGATGCCGTACGATAAATTGGTCTACAATTTTTCTGGGGCATAGTAGGTGGCTACAGACTACGATGTTTGTGTTTACATTATCTACGAGCATCATGCCATTTCTTGTATTTGTCATCGGAGGCAGGCCACAGCATATCCGTACAGAGCAGGGAAAAAATACACCGAAATGCCAAAAAGAGACAATATTTTCTTTAGTTTTACGTACTAGCATGTAAATGAACAAATTGAATTAACTTGTACCAATGTTTTTTCTAATATACTATCTTTCTAGGCAGCATGGTTCACTCCAGGCAGAGGCCATCGTGATTCATCTGGCTTCCTGGAAAACTAGTATGGATTTCCCATAATTGGTATGAAAATTAAAGATCATTATGGCAGTACGGAATGTTGCCTAAAATTACGGATTACAAAAAAACACTCAGTGAGAAAGACGGGAAAGTATCAAGTATTCTCTTAGTAGAAGACAATTTTTCATGGAAAACAGATGTGTTGTGATGACCTGAAAATCAATATTTAGCAACTTTGGGTGAGTAAAATCACCAACAACAAAAAAAAAGGAAAAAAGAAGAAGATAATCGTGCGTGCATGCATCCGCGCAGTGTTGGAGTGCTGTTTTTCTTTAGATTCATAGCGTCACATAGAAAATTACTGATTTATTCCCAAAATTACTGATTTTGAGCCTTACTAAATTTCTGTTCTGGAGGTTGGCAGCTCTGGTTGTAGTATCTTGATATTTGACATACTATACTGTGTAGCAAGACCACTGACCAATGGTTTGGAAATATAGATCATAGCAGAGTAGCTTGATAAACGTACAGGTTGATAGTCCACCGGATGACCACCCACAAGAAACAAGAAAGCCTTTGTGTTTGTGACAACAATGTATGGTCAGCATGACCACATGGTTATATGGCGAGTTTAAGCATTCTAGCCTCAACAAAGCTTACAGCTACAGTATTGTACGTAAATCCAATATCTCTCGTGTTCATCTATTCATTTGTCTGATTGTAAATGGCCACTCTTGACAGGTGGCCTCCATAGGAAGGTAGCTACAAGACTGGATTGACTGTATTATTAAACATATATTCACATAAAAAAAATAAGAACTATACATTGTAAATATTACCTCACATTTATGATGGCACTGTGCCTTTGGGTGCAAAAATGGTGATTTTGTAGATGGGCAGTAGAGCTAACATGGAGAGATTAGCGAAGATGATGAATCCGGCCACATACCCTGTATGGTCAACGAGCAGTCCGGCCAGGGCCGTGAAGATGACCTTCCCCAGGACTTCAGCAGTGGCCATGGTGGTGTGTGTGAGGGTCTGCACACAGGCCTGAGAGGCACGCTGGGATGTGGTCATCATCAAGGTGAAGGTTGCCGTGGTGATGGCCCCGCCCAGTAAGAGGATGAGGTAGAATGGAAGGCACAATACTGCAAGGATTTGAGAATTTGGTGTGGAAGGGGAGGATGAATATTAATGGAATGAGTGCACTGTCCTTAAATATACTGACAAACATGATAAAGAAAGAAAGAAAGAAAGGAAAAGATCATTTGCTTAAGAAAGATATGACGATGTGCAGGGAGATGTATTGATAATAAAGCAAAGCATCTGAGAATTGTTGTGAGAGTGTGAATGTCAATGGGTAGAAAGATATTGCCTTTTAATTCAGTGACATGCATATATGTTGCAGCAATTCATTGTAATAATTATTTGTTTGTATGATTGCTTGTGCGATCTCAGTGACATCAATGTGACATTCAATGAAATTAAAGTTTAGACAGGTATTTAACAGATTAAAGCAGTCACTTAATTATCGTTTCAGTGTGTCAAGTAATATTGGCTACCTCAGAAAAATCAAAACATTCCTTGCTAATGCTATTGCCCTTGAAATACATTTAAAAAGGTGCATGCTAGAGATTTGGTGGTGTACTCAAGAATCACAAGCAAATAATGGTTGGAAATGGAAAATGATTGACACAAAACGGTAACTTACACAAAGGGTTAAAGCTGCCATCTAGCCATATCATGAAAGACAGAATGGACAACGCGATGAACCTCCAGAAACAGAGACTACCAAGCTCCAGGGAAAGTGATCTACATAAGAAACAGAGGAGTTGTATGATTGTTATTAGGAATTTGTTATTATAATTACGTATCATGTATTATATTGTTGTAATTTGTAGGTTAACATTACTCTGTATTTTATTTTTTGTTACACGCTTAGAAACTTTGTATTAAGCGCTATATAAATGTAATATATTATATACCTCACTTAAGTAATCCAGCAATCTGATTGGTCGAAATTGCATTCATAAACTTTAACTGTTCCTGTAAAAACAGACCTATTTTCCCAATAACCATGGTTATTGGGAAAATAGGTCAGTCTCCATGGTTACCCCATAGGTTTCAGGGAATAATTTTCCTGGTATCGCATCGCAATTTGCTATGCATTTTTGCATGACTGCTATACAAAATATCTTTTGTGTAGCAGTTTTCTTCCATAGAAATGTACAGAATTTCATTTGAAATATTTATCCATCGGCTGAAATTGCTAATCAAAAAATTTGAGGAAAATTATTCCCTGGGTTTACATGTTAAAAAATGGTTTGAGCGATGGAGGATACCGTACGTGTGCGAAGAATTGGTCGGTAATTTCAATACAATTGAATCTTGATCGATCTTACCGACAATTTTATCTTGCATTGTTGACATGAAGACGAAAATAAACTTCCAAAAACAAAAAAAACAACATCTGCCGATAGATCTTGATCTAAGTTCGTGCCAATATGCATTGCAAAAGTAAAAGGAGGGCCCGATTAATGGAGCAGCCGCGAATCATCAATCACGCGAGGCCATTTTCAATCCATTTTAATGTATATATTAGAGAAAACTGTTAAGTATGGTAACAGAGCGAGATAGCCGAGCGGTTTAAGGCGCTGATTTTAGTTACATCACCTTTTGTACGCAAGAGATCGAATCCCATCTTCGACAAAAGTTTTTTTATTTTTTATTTTTTATTTTTTATTTTTTATTTTTTTGGCATATAAAAGTATTAAAGGAAACCAAAACCTTCATACTAAGTTACTTTTATTGTAAAGTTTAAAAGATTTGAATAAAATCAGTGAAAATTTGAACAAAATCAGGCAAGGAATAAGAAAGTTAGAGCTTTTTGAAATGACTAGTCACTAGAGGGCAGTATTCAATTTGATGACATCATCTGTGAACAACTCTCCAAGCCTTTTGTACATAAAATTTCATAATTTTGTTGTTTTCTTTGTATTTATTTGTGTTCTTGATCCGACTTCATACCATGTGAAGTAGAATATCATTTTGCATTCTATATCTTGCTTTCAGGGGATTACATTATCTCAATCACAAGAAAGAAGGAACTAGATGGAACTTCGACTGCGCGCAGTCGAAAATGATGCCTCCGTCATAGAGCAATTTTACAAACCAAAACAGAAGAAATTTTTCAAATTCAAGTTCAATTGTAATCCATTAAGAGGTTCTCAGAATATCGTGATTACAAGCAATTTCTCATTTACAATTAAAAGTATCCCCAAACACTCATTGGGGTACATTAGTTTATTATATTTCTTGCTGTTCTTGAGATAATGCGATCACGAGCTCTTTTTGCATACCTAATGAGCCCTGTGACCTGTGACCTTTGACCTTGTGACCCCAAAATCTAATCAGTTCATCGGCTCTGCAAGATACATACAAGACCAAAGTTTGGCAGGAATCCATCAATCGGTTCTTCAGATAACGCGATCACGAGCTGTTTTTGCATACATAATGAGCCCTGTGACCTTTGACCTTTGACCTCGTGACCCCAAAATCTAATCAGTTCATCGGCTCTGCAAGTAACATACATGACCAAAGTTTGGCAGGAATCCATCAATCGGTTCTTCAGATAACGCGATCACGAGAACGGGACGTACGGACGTACGGACGGACGGACGGACGGACAACCCGAAAACATAATGCCTCCGGCTACTTCGTAACGGAGGCATAAAAACATGAAATTTGGTGTACAAAAGGCATGGAGAGTTGTCCACAGATGATGTCATCAAATTGAATACCGCCCTCTAGTGACTAGTAATTTAAAAAAGCTCTTACTTCCTTATTCCTTGCCCGATTTTGTTCAAATTTTCACTGATATTTTTCAAATATCTTAAACTTTACAATAAAAGTTACTTAGTATGAAGGTTTGGGTTTCCTTTAATGACTGCTTTAATATTCAAGAAATAGTTGTTTTTATACGCTCTTGGGAAGGTTACAATTGGGCTATTGCCCTCGGCACGCCTCGGGGCAATAGCACAATTCTAACCTTCCCTTGAGCATATAAAAACAACTATTTCTCTCAAAGCAGTCATTAATACTATATTATTATTATTATTATCATATCAAATTATTTGTCCAGTAATCATAATAAACATCTGGGCAAGTGGTGCTGTAATAATAATCTCTAATTCATGAAGTGGAAATGAAAAATTTGAATGAAAATGGTTGATTACGTATTCACATTGTATATAAATGTGTATGGGTGCCTACTGTATCAATGGCCCAGAAAGCTAATTGAGTTGATACATATTGGAATCAAGCAGGTACAGTGGAAAGATGCTGACAAAATTCTTCCTCTTTTAACTGAATTCATCGTTTAACAATGTTAAATCTGAGATGCACGGCCCTACATGTTATCAGTGTCTGTGATATGGTGTAATATTGAAGCCCTACAAAAATTGCGCTTCAAAATGATCAGAAGTGCCTCAAAAAAAGTAAAAATCTTTAAGTGACCGATTTTTCCCACTCTCATCTTCCCCAATATACTGTAATGTTATGAAAACCGTTTGGCAAAATTTGTAATTCCAATCATAAATATCTTGATAATCAGACAGGCGATTGGCTTGTAAAAGTTTATAATTATCATTGCAGCATGAGCTAAATCCAGGATTTTGTTTCAGAATCTGAGACAAAGTTACGAGATCCCTTTAACAGAATTTTAAGCTGTGAAAATTTCATATATTTCTCTACTTTCTTTCATAATTTAGCTATTAATACAGGATGGATTTCTTTTTCTTTAAGTGGGTGATAACAACATTTGTTAATTCCTCTGACATGTCTCTATTACCTGTGCTTTGTATTATGGTTGAGGAGCCAACCGCCAAGAAGAGAGCCACTAATAGATACACACTGGGCAAGGAGACCTGTCCAGAAGGCTACTTGATTGGTTGTGACATCACAGTCAAGCAGGTACATTGGAAAGATGCTGATGGCACCTTGTTCACCTGAATAACAGAAGAGGGAAAGATTGAGGAAGAGACTGAGTGAGAAAGATTGAGAGCATGTGTTCAAATTACAGGTCAAGGGACGGAAGGAGTGAGAAATACAGGGGAAGAGAAGTACAGAGAGAGAGAGAGAGGGAGGGAGGGAGAGAGAGAGAGAGAGAGAGAGAGAGAGAAATGAGAGTACATTCAAAAAGCAGGAAAAGAAGAGGAAAAACAGAATGAAAAAAGCAAGTGAATTACAGCGACAAATGATAAGGATGGTAAAACAGGATGCAGAGATATAAGAGAAAGAGAGAGAGAGGGGGGGGGGGGTAAAAAAAGAAAAGGAAGATGTATAAAAGAGTTAGTACAACAAAGTATGAGACAGGGGAAAGATTAAAAGAATGCAAGAAGATGGATTGAGAAACAGTATTATGTGGAGTGGATATGTTCTCTGTTTTAATTTGGAATTAGAGAAATCCAATTCTGATAAGTACTACAGTATATCATTTTAAAGCTGAAAATCTTCTCTTTTATAAAAAGACATAATAAAGCTCCACACACACACAAAAACAAAAACAAAAAAATAAAATTCTGGAGACTGGCATTTGGTAGTTTTGTGGTGCGCTGGGTCACTTGCATAATGTCACAGAATGTAATGAACATTGTCATCTTCTTTACGCTTAATCTCATTTCAGTTCTGACGTCATACAAAACATGTACAATGTATGTTAATCTTAATTAAATGACAGCGAAATACTCTCATCTGACACTATTGCATTTATTTTCACTATACCTAGTTTGTAGATTAGAAGGTATAGCAACAGCCATAGCATGCCTGGACCTCTCAGCACAGAGGCCAAGTCGTCATACAAACTTCCTTGGTGGGCATCCTGCATGTGAGATTCAGAGTGTTTCCCACATTCCCAAGCTGCTGTATGTCTTGCCAATGGTTGGTCATGAACGCATTCCCGTCTATGCTTTATTGCAGTTCTAAAATGGTCATCACTCGAAAAGTCTGATGGTGAAGTATATTGTCTTAGATTCAAGGATGAGCTTCGCAGATTATATCCATGCGAAGGACAAACTACCTGGTGTTTGCTGTACCCGTTCCTCTCAATTTTGTAGGTGGATGTATCATCTTGCTCAGCACCAAGTTTAGAAAGGCACTCTTTATCTTGTTTATGGTTAAACAGATTTTTGGAATCACTGCTGAGAAAATCAGCAGTTATAGAAATATTTTTCTTATCAAGTTCTTCATTTTCGGCATCCAGGTCAGATTTCTTAGTTGGTAGCCCCAAATAAATCACAATTACTGTTATAAGGTACACGGTGGCTACCCATGTCATTAGCACACTCCATGAATAGAACTGACTTGCCCATGTCAGCATGCCGCCTCCGAACATTGCCCCCACTTTGTACGCCACGACCTGGATCGCGTTTCCCATCCCCATTTCTGTCTCTGTTAAGTTCTGAATGGCAAAGGTGTCCACAGCGATGTCCTGCACAGATACAAGGATGTTCATAGTTAAGAGAATAATGCTCAATGTCCAGGCAGATTGAACCGATATCATGGACGATGCAGCAAAGACGACAGAGAGGCCCGAGAGGCTAAAGGTCAAAGGACGTTTGATGGATGAAGAGCTGGTCACCACCGGAACCCACATGAGTTTCAGCATCCACGGAAGACTGAGTGCTCTTAGTAGAGAAACCTTTGTCAGTGAAGCACCAGCAGTATGCATGAGGATGGGTAGGAATGCCACCTGCGTGTAGAAACATACAATTTTAATTTGATCAGAAAGTGCAATGGACACACATCCCATTCTCAACTTCTCATTGGAACAGCAAGAAATAAAATAAGCAAATGTACCCCAATGAATGTTTGGGGATACTTTTAGTTGTAAATGGGCAAATAAAAGGCATCATTTAACAATATCAAATTTGAGATGCATGGCCCTACGTGTTATCAGTGTCTGTGAAATGGTGTAATATTGAAGCCCTAAACAAAATTGCGCTTCAAAATGATCATGAAGTGCCTCAAAAAAATAAATATCTACGTACGCTATATCCTCGCCCGAGTCATGAAAATGTCACGCATACATGTAGCTGATCTTTGAACTTGGTGTCTCTGAGACTGCAGTGTTATGAAAACCGTTAGGAAAACACAAAAATTTGGTTTCGATTCCAAACATATATATCTTGATAATCAGACAGGCGATCGGCTTGTAAAAGTCATGGGGTTCCTGACTGACCTAAAGGTCTATAATTATCATTGCAGCATGAGCTAAATCCAGGATTTTGTTTCAGAATCTGAGACAAAGTTACTGGATCCCTTTAACTAATTTCTTACTTAAACAAGTTACCTTCTGGCTTTGAGCAGACGTTGTCTTACCTGAAACCCATATGGCACACCTTGCAACCCATAGAGAAGCATAAGCCAATACACGTTGGATGATAGGACCTCCATTTAGGATTAAACATAGCCAAGTAGCTAGTAGCAGATCTTACTTCAATCAGTAAAATGTTGACAATTGTTTTGTTGACATTTTGCCTGCAATATATATCAGTTTCACTCTTCTCAACTGGCATCAGATTTGAGTCGTACCTGAAAGGAAACAAAATAACAAATACAATCATTAGTTTGTAATTTATTCAGTACAGTGAAATAAACTATCATGAAAGCTACACACACATACCACCCCTTGTAAGGCACAGTAGATGCCATATACTTGGACTTCATGAAGGCATTCGATACGGTGCCTCACCACCAGTAGACCGAATTTTCCGTCTCTTTCGTTCGTTAGCCTCTTATTGGGGTAGGGTCGGCCGGCTCTCTCTTTAGAGACGGAAGCCGTTTATACACATGTCCTTGCTAACGCCACGGCCAGTCCTGGTCGTAGCGTTTTGCCCCCAAAATCCCCCAAAATGTCATTTTACCTCGAGCATGTTATATTGTAAATTAGGCCTAGGCTATAATAAATCAGTTCCACTTACCAACTTGACTGAAATAATCAGTTTAATAGTCCCTTTTTAGGAAATTATGGGTGAAAGTCGGAATCCATGTTGAAAAAGATTTTCAAAATGGATTCCGATTTTGACCCATAATTTCCTAAAAAGGGACTATTAAACTGATTATTTCAGTCAAGTTGGTAAGTGGAACTGATTTATTATAGCCTAGGCCTAATTTACAATATAACATGCTCGAGGTAAAATGACATTTTGGGGGATTTTGGGGGCAAAACGCTACGACCAGGACTGGCCGTGGCGTTAGCAAGGACATGTGTATAAACGGCTTCCGTCTCTAAAGAGAGAGCCGACCCTACCCCAATAAGAGGCTAACGAACGAAAGAGACGGAAAATTCGGTCTACACCACCAGCTGTTTCTCAAATTAGAATCGTACAGAGTCTGTGGGAATCTACTTGCATGCATGGTTAGAGTCTTTTCTGAGTGGACGGCAGCAAAGAGTAGTGGTCAGAGGCAGGCAGTCTAAGTGGGGCAAAGTACTGAGTGGAGTGCCACAGGGCAGTGTGTTGGGTCCGTGTTTATTTTTCGTGTTTGTCAACGAACTTCCAAAAGTTGTGAACGCAAATATTTCAATGTTTGCAGAAGATAAAAAGTTGTATGTTCGTGCCGATACTGCAGATTTCAGAAAGCAGCTTCAAGAGGATCTGTCACCGATGGTAGAATGGGCTGAGAAATGGCAGCTTTCCTTTCATCCTGATAAGTGTGTAGACTAGTGTTTTCATATAACCGCCATTTTGACTGCACAATACGGGTTGCGGGCGAGCGGGCGTTATCGACCATAATGTCTCAGATCCTCATTACGGTAGATAAATTCACACAGACGCGCACTTGCTCGTAACCCACCATCAGTATGCACTTGTACTGTACAGCGGTTTGCCGTGAAACCTGCATGTGAAGAAGTGACTAATATCAATGTTTTTCCGAAAAATACTACAAAAATAACAAAAAAGTTCAAACGAAATAGAGTCTAGCTAATAAAAATAACGACTTTGAACTCATGATCTTTATTTAACATTTGGTGAATATTTGCTTCATTTTGGGTATGTTTAAGTGGGGTATCTCCACGCCGGAGTTATGGGTCAAATTTTGGATAGGCTTCTAAACTAGCGCCGTCAACGTCTAGAGCCTAGGCTCTACATGCTAGACTTCTTCTAAGTTCTAGCCTTCTAAAATTAAATCAAAAAAATTAATCCATCACTTTTGAGTACAAGAAGAAAATGCATCAATTAACGCAACAGATCATAAATATTTGTCTTTGATAATATTTTCTAACATACATCTTAAAACATTTCTAAAATACCACATGTAAACTTTTTCAAGTTACCGCTTTAATTCAACTGGCCGGGCACACAACAACGAGTGGGTAGGCCTACGTCAACAAGCGCCCCGCCTAGGCCGGCCGTGCATGCATGAGCCTGGCCATAGTCGACGCGTGCATGTGCCCAGTCCTGCTGCATGCTGTCCTCGATCCGGTCTCCACTCCAGGCCTGAAGTTCAGCTGTTTTACTGGTTAGCTTGAAATTGGATCCCTGGAATAAGCCTCACATCAGTGGTATGATACTTTTGCACTTCTATCCCTTGTATTTTCATAGCTCAAACAAATACAATTTCATTTTTAATAAGGAGCTCAGCTCAGCTCAGCTCAGTCGACTCGAGTCTTTTCTGCATGCACTGTGCAAAGTCAATGTAAATTGTCGGCAGTTAGAAATGTGTGGTCCCAAACACTGACATTGATGTGTTGTTGATTTTTTTCTTGAAAGTTTTTTATTTTTCATTCAATGAACCAAATTTAACATAATCGAGATGGAAATGGAGAGATTATCATGTTGATTTTGATAAGATAATAATTACAAGCATTACATTAAAATAGCAAAAAATCCAGCACTTCTGTATAGCGGTAGGCCTAGCAATTAACTGTTAAGAAGTGTTAGTAGTAGGGAGGCCAATGCCCGGGCGTAAGGCTTCTACACCTACGATTTGTGCGCTCGTCGCCCACTTCAAAAAATTAGCAAAGGGAAAAAAATGATGTAAAAATAAAAATTGAAGAAAATATGAAAAGAAAATACAATTATACATTTCACAACATACCTATAATCACGGATCTGTAACAGTCTTTCACCATTTGTTGACAATCTTGCAGATTTTGACGTTTTTTAATCCAATAACTGTGGTTGCAGACGACCTTGACGCACTCGCACCACCGACTAAGAAAATCCTAGAGGGCGTAGAGGTTTGCTCACTAAAAACCTTCTCATTGGCAGAAGGTAGACCCTAAAAATATGGGATCCGTTTTGAGTAAAGAACTTTTGATAGAGATCAACATTTCAGATGTTCACAATTGCCACTTCTAACAACTAGAAAATATAAAGAAAAAAGATTATATCTTTTTAAATACAGATTTTTACAAACTGAACATTCGAAAGTAGATAGAGTACGATGTTTCTGTCAATCTTGCGTTGGTTTGAGCCCTATAGCTACATCCATCTCAAAATGAGAAGGAAAACAGTGAACAGTGACGTCATTGTTCGCGCCAAAAATAAAGGGTATTGCGACATAATCTGAGCTCCGGTCAGATCGTGCGGAAAGCGTAGTCTTATTTATAGACCCTAGTACCTTATTCTCACAGCACTAGATACGAGTGTCGTGCAGTAATGTATGAGAAGTGTTAAAAAAGATATTTCAGTAAAAAAAAAGTCTACGTGAGCAGTCTATACTCCAATTGAGAATTGAAATGAAAGCCATGATTTGAAGGTGTGTGTATGTTACGTATAGCGAAAGGGAGAGAGAGAGAGAGAGAGAGTGAGAGAAATATTAGTACACGTACGTTGCATGCATGGATGTGCGCTATGATTGTGTTCGCTGCAAGATGGATTTTAATTGGACCTCGTAACTTCTCGATCGTTGATAATAAGGAATACTCATGAGGAAATCAAATTATTGGAATACACATCTAAGGTAAATATCAATGAATTATATATATTTCTTTCCTTTTTTGAACCATCGTCTTCGGCTCGTAGTAGTAGAAGATGTAATCGTTCGCACATTGATGGCTGGACTTCAGCCTGCATCGGGGCTTGCCTGTGTCGGTACGGTGGAGGGATCAACTAAGAAGAAGAAGGTGTGTACGTGTGCGACCGATTCAAGGCTAGCCGCTGTTGAGTGATTGCACTTTCGCGCGAAGTTTTAAACTTCATCATGAACTTTGTCCCTCGGGCCTGTCTAATTATGAACGTAACTTTGCGACATGAAATATAATTGTTTCAAGGCTCTTACGTACGGAAAGGCGTAGAAGGAAATGGCTACAAACCAGCTGGATATCTCCTATTTGATGGAACTTATGGAGTCGGCAGATGGGTGGATTTTCTTAGTGAAAGTAAATGCTTTCTTTTAATCTTAGTTTTAGTATAAACAAATTAGTAATTAAAAAGTTAGATTTGGGCATTGGCCTCCCTATTAGTAGGGTGTCTGAACGATTTTTCAATTTTCAATTTGGGATCGTTTTTCACCATTTTTGTTTGATATTTGAATAAAAAAATGTTATCAGAATAATACATTTCAAATTTCAAGTCTCACCGATGTTTCTATCAAAAGTTACAGCCCCTCCAAAACGCTGGTATATTCATATCATTTTGGTCAAAATCGACGAAAAAGACGTCCACGCAGAGTGATGTTGTTTTGCTAAATTTAGCCAAACAGCTGTATCGCGCGATATGCAAGCGTATGCATATCGTACGCATGCTGCTAAGCCAATCCGCGACTTGCAGCTTGAGCTACGCTGTCTCCGCGACATGTGCCATTGACTAGTATGGTTGGCAATTCCCGCTGTAGAACCCGGAAGTGAATACACGTTGTAGTCAATGGCAATATCGCGGAGACAACGCACGTTGTCTCCGCGATATTGCCATTGACTATAGCGTGTATTCACTTCCGGGTTTATCGAGGGAATTGCCAACCATAATTTCAGTCACTATGTTTCGTTCGTGCGCGGAGATGTTACGCGATGTAACCATGGTTTGGACTGAGCGGAGCGCACGCCCCCTAATTAGCTGATCCACCAAACAGCGAGAAGGGTATTTTTAAACTGTTATCAGTTGTGATCCCTGGGGGCTAGCGAAAATATAATCACATAGAATTGTTCCTTGGGACTGGGACTACTTATCGATCGGGGCGTCATATCTCAAAAGTGACAAACCTCAGAGTTAGCCAGGACACAATGTTTAAATTGCTGTTTTGACCAAGATATTTTTAGAATTTCGGGGGCTACGCCCCTTTGGAAATATTGGAATTCACCTGCTCTTTCATATGACACCTCATTCATTGATTTTCACCTTCAGGATCACAACAGATAAAGGTTTGAATCTCGATTTGAAAAAAAAAAAATGACTTTTTTTGCATGGTCGCGCAATGCACGTAGGCTGCATAGGGATGCGTGTAATCTCTATGGGAAGAATTTTAGCACACAACATCGGGTGCGCGATCAGACACCCTAGTGTTAGTAGGGAGGCCAATGCCCAAATCTAACTTTTTAATTACTAATTTGTTTATACTAAAACTAAGATTAAAAGAAAGCATTTACTTTCACTAAGAAAATCCACCCATCTGCCGACTCCATAGGTTCCATCAAATAAGAGATATCCAGCTGGTTTGTAGCCATTTCCTTCTACGCCTTTCCGTACGTAAGAGCCTTGAAACAATTATATTTCATGTCGCAAAGTTACGTTCATAATTAGACAGGCCCGAGGGACAAAGTTCATGATGAAGTTTAAAACTTCGCGCGAAAGTGCAATCACTCAACAGCGGCTAGCCTTGAATCGGTCGCACACGTACACACCTTCTTCTTCTTAGTTGATCCCTCCACCGACACAGGCAAGCCCCGATGCAGGCTGAAGTCCAGCCATCAATGTGCGAACGATTACATCTTCTACTACTACGAGCCGAAGACGATGGTTCAAAAAAGGAAAGAAATATATATAATTCATTGATATTTACCTTAGATGTGTATTCCAATAATTTGATTTCCTCATGAGTATTCCTTATTATCAACGATCGAGAAGTTACGAGGTCCAATTAAAATCCATCTTGCAGCGAACACAATCATAGCGCACATCCATGCATGCAACGTACGTGTACTAATATTTCTCTCACTCTCTCTCTCTCTCTCTCTCCCTTTCGCTATACGTAACATACACACTCACTAACCATGTATCATACAACACACACCTTCAAATCATGGCTTTCATTTCAATTCTCAATTGGAGTATAGACTGCTCACGTAGACTTTTTTTTTACTGAAATATCTTTTTTAACACTTCTCATACATTACTGCACGACACTCGTATCTAGTGCTGTGTGAGAATAAGGTACTAGGGTCTATAAATAAGACTACGCTTTGCGCACGATCTGACCGGAGCTCAGATTATGTCGCAATACCCTTTATTTTTGGCGCGAACAATGACGTCACTGTTCACTGTTTTCCTTCTCATTTTGAGATGGATGTAGCTATAGGGCTCAAACCAACGCAAGATTGACAGAAACATCGTACTCTATCTACTTTCGAATGTTCAGTTTGTAAAAATCTGTATTTAAAAAGATATAATCTTTTTTCTTTATATTTTCTAGTTGTTAGAAGTGGCAATTGTGAACATCTGAAATATTGATCTCTATCAAAAGTTCTTTACTCAAAACGGATCCCATATTTTTAGGGTCTACCTTCTGCCAATGAGAAGGTTTTTAGTGAGCAAACCTCTACGCCCTCTAGGATTTTCTTAGTCGGTGGTGCGAGTGCGTCAAGGTCGTCTGCAACCACAATTATTGGATTAAAAAACGTCAAAATCTGCAAGATTGTCAACAAATGGTGAAAGACTGTTACAGATCCGTGATTATAGGTATGTTGTGAAATGTATAATTGTATTTTCTTTTCATATTTTCTTCAATTTTTATTTTTACATCATTTTTTTCCCTTTGCTAATTTTTTGAAGTGGGCGACGAGCGCACAAATCGTAGGTGTAGAAGCCTTACGCCCGGGCATTGGCCTCCCTAGTGTTAGATCTAGCAACAAATGGACTAAGTCGGACTTATCACTCGAGCTCGAAGAGTCGAAGATGAAAATATGAAAGTTTTCCGGACCCCCCCCCCTCCCCCCGTGTACACTGCCCAAGAAACCTAGTCTCCCTCCCCCATCTCCCTTCCTACCTCACCCTCCGAGTCCTCTCCCCTCCTGCTCCTTCATGAACTACCTGATTTGCGACGGATGGGGCAAATATTAATTATAGGATTAGGAGGAAGGGGTGAAAGAAAAGGAGGAGAAGAAGATAGATGTGAAGAAGATGGAGATGAGGGTGAAGGGAATCGAAGGAAGAGAGAAAAGCATTTGTAATCATTTAAACTCTTCCGGAAACACTAATGCAAGCAAGTAACTGGTTAAATGTTTCTTTCTTTCAGGTAAAGCACACAGAAGCTCTTTTGGCCATCACACATCATGGCGTTTCCCCCCAGTATGAAGACGGTCTTTGTGATTGACCATTCAGCCTCCTTTGCTGAATCCTGCAACCAGCCATTTGAATTTGATGTCGTCAGCAAAGCAAGGACACCAGGTAATGATATTGATGACATTTATTCATCTTTTCTACTTTTCTGTGACGTTTGTGGAAAGTACCTTATAACAGATTGAGATTTTGCAGAATAAACGCATATTATTGGTGTCTCATGTTTCTCTGATATATTGTACAGCATTCTAGGGTGGGTTTTTTTCTCACTTGCTCTCATGTCACAATCAGCCCACATTCCCACTGAATGGTCACTTTAAATGTTGGGAGCGTGTACATGTATATCCACACTTAAACTACACAACTCAAACTCTGACCTTGCTCTAACCTGCTCTGAGCAATCTCTGATTCATCGTATCAGGACAATTACCCCCTGAAAGATCACCCCGCAAAATTCCCCCTGAGAACATCCACCCCTGAACAATTACCCCCCCCCCCCCTCCCACCGGTTATCCAAGGAAGACCAAAGACAACCACCCCTGAGGCCAATTACTCCCCAGAGAATATTATAAACTTTTATTATTTATAAGTTTTTTTTATGACTGAATAGATTTACATCAATTTTCAAGGGGGTAATTTTCCCGCTAGAAACTGGCCGGAGGGCGATTGTCCAGGGGGTACTTGTCTTTAATAAAACCCTGATTCACATAATTGAACTTACTGAATTGATCAATTTCTTCTCTTATTTTTATTTTATTTTCTCCTGCATATTCTCCAGGTCTCATTCCATTAGCTCCTCTCTCCAAGTCTCTATGGACCTGTTGTATTGAAGGCATCATGGAATACTGCAGAGTGGTCTATGATATCTTCCCTCAAAGCCGAAATGTTAGTATGAAAGCCTGGCCCATAGCATGTTGAGAGAAAGAGTTTTGACACATGCATGTTAATGTATGTGAGCGTGGTTCATAGGTCAAATCACAGAGCTCCAAATAGTTCCCTCTCACGTACAATCTCTATGGTTGGTAGCATTTTGGAGTACCATGAAATAACTGTCCAATCAGAACCAACTTTGTTTGTTGGAACTTCATTCGATTTTAATTAGCTAGCTATGGCCTGGCCAATGTAGCGATGAACTTCCTAAATCCCTACAGGGCTACGTCCTAGAATTTGGGATTAGTTTAAAACTTGTCTTGCACAGTGAGTGAGTGATGACAAATCAAAAAGCTTTAAAAAAATACCTATATAATCTCCAAAATTAGTCATTAAAGGTAAAGACCAGTTATGGTCGTGCGATTGCATTGTGAAAGAAACGTTATGAAATCGATCAGAAAAGGTTGATCATCTAGCATATAAGTATTGGTGTGTACTGCAAGGTTCTGGAATCATCAAAATGATAAGAAATATGGCCCAGTCTTCGTAAAGTTACAAGCACTGTACACAGGAAGATGTATATGGGACTATACGCACACGTGCGCGACACATGAGTTTATCTCTCACAGACCATGTAGATAAACTAATTTACCAAATATATCTATTAGTAGGCGGTTTATCATCATGTATTAGTCAAAACATATTCTTTCACATGATTGGTAATAAGAGCTTCTATTTCATTTTTTGAAATTGGGGCGTTTCCAATACTGGTCTTTACCTTTAATAAAAGCAGTACGAATGAGAGCCAAATAGAGGGCCACCAACAGGCTCACTCCTCCCTGGCTTATGATCGATGTCATGATAAGAGAGCAGAAGTGATTGAACTTTAATTTCAATTTTTTTTTGGAGAAGTTTGGAAACATGAAGCAGTGTGTTGCTATCCACTATATTACCTTTGTTCAATTTCACATTCACAACATCATGATGGACTCTCTTTTTAAATATTTCATATTGTTCCTCTCTCTTTCAGGTCTGTCTAATAGCAAGTGATAGTCTCGCACACGTTATCAATGGCTGGAGGGCAGCTGAACAGAACACCACCCATGTAAGAGTTTATTATTTGATTATTATTCAACTAATCTGCAATGTACTTGTAGATGGGGTCACTACAAAAGATGGACTGCATTTAATTGATGAGATAATTCTGTTTAAATAAAAAAAAACAATCAGTAAATATTTTATATATTATCAAATCAAATAAAATGTAGCAAACAATGAACTCAAGATTTGGGGAGTTGGGGTAGCAGGGGAAGAGGGAAGTTAAAGAAGTCAAGAGAGAAAGATAGAACATTTATCCTTTAAATCTTTTTTAAATATGCTTTTTGGGGAGCTTGTACATCTAGGAGCCCACGATAGTTAACTAATAATAAGAGCATTCAATTTGTTGTAGGAGGAGTTGGTTTGAGAATTGCTTTCTTTGAATAATAGAGGTGCTGTGGTCGAGTGGTTAAGTCGCCGGACTGTCGATCACAAGGTCCGCGGTTCGAGACCCGCCGCGGCACTAATGTCCTTTGGCAAGACATTGATCTACATTTGCCACACTCGACACAGGTGATGTAAATGGGTACCTGGCAGGAATTAATTCTTTGAAATGCTAGAATGCTGCAATGGCAGCACAGCTAAAGCCGGGGTAATAATCTCCAAGTTTGGAAGCGCTTAGTGATTCTAATAAGTGCTATATAAAAACTGAGTATTATTATTATTATCATCATCAATTGTTTTGAATTTGTTGAGAGGAATGCCGATTACCCAAGACCTGCAAGTCAAAAACCCAGACTATTAAAGAATTGTTTATATTGCACTGGCTCATGGGAAATCCACAGAATAATATCATTTTCCCCACAAAACACACTCCACTTTGGGTTTTCTTTCATAATTCTACAGATCATGACAGCACTTGCTCACCTAGGACCCCCTCCAGGAGATGGAGAGACGGCAGACGTCAGCATCACTAATGGGTTAGAGGGCGCTGTTGAGATGCTGTGTGAGAGAACGGATCTCCAGCGAGAGCTGTCTGATGATGAAGCTAGTCCCAATATAAACCGTGGCCGTATCATCTGCCTTACTTCTCTTACAACGTGAGCAAATGATTCCCATGGTCAAGAGTCCTTTAACTATTAAATATTGAGCCCAAGATCTTTATAGAAAATTAAATGCATTAATTTATTACACTCTATCAAGAAGTTGTTCTCCACCATGAATGATCTATACTTTCTAAGAATTACGTCTCAGGTTTACTGCCTTCAAAAACCTGTATTTAATTATTCCTCTTGTGTTACTTTTAATTGTGTGAAGTTCCCATACTTCCTACATAAAGGAACCTCACCTCTCCATGACCAGTTAAGCATTGAGGGTGTAGTTTCAATGATTTTATAATCCAATCGTAATAGTTTGCTTTTACTTGTAGATTTGTTTTCTTTTGAAGGCTAGTGTAGTTGTTATGACCTTCTCTTAGATAGAGCATGCTGTACATAGCATTTGTTTACAGATTATGGAAAAATGTAGACATGTACTTTGTTAATGAGCAATTAACTATTTGTACCCCCTTTTAAGTGTTCTTCCTCACATATTACAGCAAATTTATTTTTTTCCTCATTGCTATGAATCTCACCATCATCATCATCAACGAGGCTATTTGACACATAAACATGCCTCTTTCTTTGTGCAGGATTGAACAGATCGATGAAATCAAAGACTATTTGAAGGAAAACATTCAGCACCAGAACAAGATAGCATCAGCTTCAGATGAGTAAGATAATCAACATTCATGTATTCATTTATTTTATTTTTGTTTTAGAAAGGAGACAAACAGATATAAAAAGTTAGAAAGATAGATAGCTTGCAGTGAATTTGTTACCTCACCATGTGAAGGGTAATTCTGAAACATAATCAACTTCTCTATTCTCGCTAAATTGATCACTTAGTACTTTCTACATTCCAACTTTTTAAATCAAATATGTATTATTGTGAGCTTCTTTTGATTTTTATCACGAAAGTTCATCTGTATTGGCAGTACATAAATATGTTTGAGAGTTAAATTTTTGATCTCAAAAACAAAATGTTTACCTGTAGATTTTTTTAGAAATTTGCTACAATCTGTTTTGATTTTTGAAGGCTCTTGGTCTATTAGATTTCATGTTGTCCCAACCACCGTCATTTTGGGGGGCGTTATCTTTATGTGCTCCCAAATAGATGTATCATTTTCTCATAAAATCCCTTCTATGCACTCTCTTATTTAGTCTCTTGCCGATTGACCATTGTGAACTGTGTTTGGTCAACATCCATCCTGTTGACCAGGCTCCAGCTGTGAGGTTGACCCAAGATCTTAGCGTTGTCTCCTCCCATCAGTCATGTCATGTGACCACCACCAAGGCGGGGCGTCACCTAGCAACCAAGCTTGTTTCTCTCCTCCAGACTCACTTTGATCTGGCTATAACCACTGTAACAGGCATCCCCATGAAGGTACATGTAATACCTTGCTTTCCCGCAAGGCTATTTAGTACGGTGCGTCCAAAAAAAAACGAAACCAAGAATTATCGATGTTTTAGTCATAATTATAATTGATAAATGACACATATTTGGAAAGCTTAGATCCTCTTCTTTTATTTGATGCAACTTATAATGATGCCCATTTCACGCATGAGTGATTAAAATCAATTTAAAGAGAGGAACCAAAAAGTCTTTTGGTGGACGGTATCTGAATTTCAAAGAGAAAATCACATTTCTAGAAAGTTCATTTTCTGCCATTTCATATGACACCTTAATCATGAAAAATGAGAGAGGAATAACAAAGTTCAGTTTGTTTAAAGTAGTGGTTGCATTTCCATAATTCGATTAAACGAATTAGTTTTCACTGGGTGCCTGCCGTAGCAACAAGTAGAATTGAGAAAAGACTTAACTCCGTTTCGTTGACAATCAGCCGTGCATGAATTCTTTCGACTATATGGCTGATCTACAATGAAACTTCTACAATGATACAATATGAACAAAAGCAGAAATGACTCTTTAATAGGAGGCGTGATAGCTCAGTTGGTAGAGCAGTGGTCTCGTAATCTGGTGACCTGGGTTCGAAACCAAGGCGATGCGCTAGCGCCCTTTGGTAAGGCATTAATCCTCATTACCAGGTCCCTCGAAGAGGACCTAAAGTTGGCGGCTGTCTCGCCGCTTACTAACAGGCATTTATGCTTTCTTAGCAGCCAGGTAAAATAACCACCACCACCTAATAAATATAACATATATTCAGCCTCAGGAGAAATTATTTTTTCAAACAAACCTAATATTTAGCAGGCCTACTGGAGTATAGAATATAATGAGTTAAAATAGAATGTTTCTATGGGAAGGTTGTAAGAAACAGTTGAGTCTTTCCAAGATCTGGTAAGGGGAAAAGGGGCAAGTCCAAGGTATGTGGCCATTTTATGTCCATGCATCACTAAGTGGTGAGGAGTTAAAAACATAATTTGACACACAAAAAGTATAATTTGATTTCATTGTTTGGTCTGGTCCAAGCTCTAGCAGGATTATTACACAATGAAATTAATGCAACGACCATACAAGTCATGTACCATACTAAATTCTCAGATCCAGGCCCCGTCTTATAAAGAGTTGATATTAATCGCAACTTATTTTGGATGGATATCTATTGCAACTAAGTACAAAAGAGTTAGGGGACTACAAAATTGCAATTGATAAGAGGACTTGCAAATCATTATAAGAAGGGGCCCTGATCACTGATGTATTGGACAAAATAGCTTGGACTCTGCCCATAGAGCAGTCAAATACATATACATGTATGCATGTACATTGTCAAAACATTTGTAAGTATAGAAATCATTTTCTGTACATTTTCAATCAATGTAATTTTGTTGAAGCCCACATGGAGTTTAACGCCTGTCTGTACTAGTTGGGCCGGAAGGGATTAGACCACCCAGTGTGGTCACTGACAGGTGGCTATCTCATCACCTCGGCTCTCAATTAACATAAGAAAAAGATGATCATGGGGGACCAACGGGCACCGCTAAGGCATTGTTTTCTATATGGATGGAGCAAGTAGCTACAAGTAGTACAGTACAAACTAGGCGTTGTGGCGTGCGTCTGTAATCCAGCTAACAGTGGAAGTTACAAACTGATTCAGCCGAGAACGCAGGTTCGAAACTGAGTCACGTCTTTCGGATGGTGACGTTAAAAGTCGGTCCCCAGATGTAAATAATCATATCTGATTGATACACGTCTGTAAAAACCCAAATACACACACACACACGTACAGTGGGGCTTTAACATTTTTAGTTTGGTTCTACCGTAGGAGGAGCAAAATGCAAGCAGCTCTGCCAACTATGACGTGGAGCTGCTCCACCACCGTCAAGCTCATGTGGAGATTCACAAGATGGAGCACATTGTGGCTGCCCAGGAGCTGAAGAGTGAAGGAGACGGCAAGGGAGCAGGAGGAGGAGGGAGCTCCGGTGCAGCAGGAGCAGGGGGAGGAGGAGGTGGGGGATCTGGAGATGGAGGAAGTAAAGCAGGAGGTGTGAATAAGGTGCTTCTCAAATGGTGCCAGCCTAGGGTGGCAGGAGCAGGTAAAGATCCAACATATCATTTCCTTATTTTCTCATTATGTAAACATTATTTTCTTTACTTGTATTAATATGTACATTGAGGGATTTCAACTTCAAGTTAGGTGTTTAGGGCTGTTGTTAGTGTTTAATAAACACTAACATCAGCCCTAAACACTGAAATGCAAATCAACTGGTGTTAAGGCTTTGACCTCTGAATATCGTCAACTTCCAGTGGCTAGTGTTATCGATTTCGCAAAATTGTTGTCTGCTGAACTACCTTTGTGGCTAGTGCTAATAGTTTACGAACAAATGTCCTATTCACTAACGCTAGCCCCTAGGGATTAAGCAAATGTTGATTTCTAGTTTGTTGTTAGTGTTAAGCTATCGATATTGAAATTGGAATCAGGCTCTTAATTTCATTAGCAAATTTTTAGCTCATTTTAAGAGCTCTTGACTGCTCTAAACACTAACATCCAACTTGAAATCACTCATTGTACACGTATTAAAGAGTTGCAGCTGCAACAAGAAACTTGGCTTTTAGAAGAAAAGGAATTGTAGCGAGGTTCCATGCGCATTATTAAGGAGAGATCAGGAGATTGTCTTGCCAAAGGGTGTTTTAATCTTTCAAGAATGGAAATTCTTTAACTCTTTTGAAAGGCAAAGAGAAAAGAAATTTGGCTTTTAAAAAAGAGAGATAGATCAGCAATTGTGTCAAAATTATAAAAAAAGGGTGCTTTTTTCTTTTACATGTATCTTCCACAAAAAGCCATAGCTGGTTTAGAAAGCTCAGAAAATAAAAATTAACAGTCTTAAAAAGGATTCTGTTCATCTCCAGTTCACTGTTAAACATGAGTGGGCGCTTTAGACTATTTGAAACAGATAAATGGTGCCATACAAGTGCTGTGGATCATCATCATTATAGTAATCAGTAGAAAGGAAAGAGAGCTTTAAAGAGAGTGGAAGAGAGAGAGAAAAAAAAGTAACAAAAAGAGTCTCCATTGTAAAAAGTTTCAAAAATGATATTGATGTGTGATTTTTTAAGAATTATTTATGTTTCTTTTTAACCATCCTGAAAAAAGTATGATGTTCTGTCATGCATTAAACATGTATGTTAAAAACCAGCATGTATTGTTTATTCATTTCCTACAGGTAACATTATTTCCTCATTTTGTATTGAAGAGAAATCATACTTCTGAATATTTATTTTTCTTTTCTTTTTTATTTCAGAGCTACTTCATTGCACTGGAGCTTATGGAGTCTCGCCTGTTGATGTAAGTATTGTATAACTTATTATAGTCTGATCTATACACACAAACTTTGTTGCATGCTACATGTACATGTATACAGTTTTAAATCTTTATGTACACCTTTTCCCTCTTTAGTATATCCCTTTTAAAGGCCAAGTCAAATTCCTTTGTCAATTAAATTCAATTAAATTCTTCTTCTTTTCCTTCAATTCTGTTAACAGAACACTTCAGTTTCAGACAATTAAAAAATAAATCTGTAAAATGTTTGCATTAGTTCTCCTTTTATACAACTCATGCACCAGTATCGATATCCTACACTTGCCAAATTGTTCACAGAAACCGGTCACCAAAGACTCCTAACCCTATACTTGACCTAAAACGAAATGTAGATACTGTACATTAACGACATCATATTTTTCAGTTGTCATCATTTTTCTGACTACCCTTTAATGTGAACAATGTCATCAGATTTTTTTTTTGCAAGATCCCTAACACAACCCAACACTTCACCGAATATGTTTGGTGAAATAAAACACAGGGCAGTTGTTGCTGGATCATTCATCAGGCCTGATAATTACCCGATTTAAATTGTTTTTTCTTTTTTCCCCCGATTTTTATTTATTTTATTTCAACAACAAAATTCTTCCCAATTTCTTTCCAATTTTTTCCTGATTACCTTACTCAAAAGGGGGGGGGGGCGGGAATGCTGTTGGATGCCATTTTTTTTCTCCTGAATCTATTTTTTTTTTTTTTACTTAAGAAAAAAAATGGTGACAAAAAAAGGTGGTTTACTCTTACCCCTGATAGATGTATATGTCTGTTTGGGGCAACAGCTCTCCTAACATGCAAACATTCCACCATCATCTACAGAGCTTCCAAGTATCACGCATTAGGCGTGACATCACACATTTCGAGGGTCTGAAAATGCTCTTACGCATGACGCACGCGCTATATTTTGAAAAAACGCTATACCTTATACGTGTGTTATACCCTCGCACGTGCGCTTGCGCGCCAAATCATGAAAATGTCACGCATTGCCGATCTTTGAACTTGGCGTCTCTTCATCGATATATCTACAGGTTAACAGCAGACCGTCTTTGTGCCTCACCAATTTCCTGCTGAACGGGCGTCAGGTGATGCTAGAGCAGCCCCGTAAACAAGGTACGAAGTGTATCTCCCACATGCTGGCCAGCCATGGCGGTCAGATCAACCTCCACTGTCTGTCCACCTCCCGGTCACCCTTAGAAGATCCCCCGTCCATCAGTGAGGGGTGTGGAGGGAGGGTCACTAACTACCGCATCAATGACTTTGGTGACTTCATGAAGGAGAACCGGTTGGCACCGTGCCAGGAAGGATCAGACAGTGAATCTGAGCTGCCTTTGGAGAGAGGTTAGTCAGATTAGGCCTGTTTTCACTAGCTCGAGATTGCCAAATGTCCTGCTATTTGAACTATCCCGATCGCAAACTATCCAGCTAATTTGCGTCTTCATCAGCCTGAAGTTGCAATTAGCGGGTTATTTGGTTGGGATAGTTTGCGGAATATCCCACTATTTGGCAAAATATACAGCTATTTGTCCATTGCGTCTTCACCAGACCGAAGACTAGCATTATGCGCGAACGCTACGCAAAAATATCTGGAGCTAATTTCTAAAGGTCGAGTTTCAAGTTTTGAGGTCAAATCTCGAGCTGATGAAGACGCGATTTGTAACTTCAGGATTATTTCCCAAATCAGAAATAGCGGGCTATTTGGCAATCTCGAAATGATGAAGAAGCGCCTTAAGAGAGGCTTCATTCTTTGTGGTTATTGATAAAGCCCCACTGCACTACTAATAGCTAGATGCACCCTCTAAATAGCAAACAATGCCTAATCGGTGACCATTGGTCTCCCATGATCCTCTTTTTCTTATGTTAATTGAGAGCTGATTTGATGAGATAACCACCTGTCAGTGACCATGGAGGGAGGTCTAATCCCTCCTGGCCAAACTAGTGCAGTGGGGCTTTAAAACCAGGAACTGTCATGAGTTTTGTGACTGGTTCATATTGGTAAAGTTTTATGCTGCAAAAGAACTGAATCACAACTGAAATATTAGTGAATTAATTCAATGTGCAGCAATTTCCCTGTTTCCTTGTGACATGTTCTCCACACGGGCTGGTCCATTCAATAGATTTTGTGATATCAGAGCAGTACTGGTTCATCAATTGTTGATTTGTTATTTGGACTTTTGTAAGGACACCTTGGAAGGTCTTGATATTGAAATGTTAATACCTTAGAGGGAAACCAAACCTTTGTCATGAATTCATTTCTAGGAAAGCAGAAAAGTAAGAGAACTGGAATAGCGAATATTTGAAATGCAAAATCAATAAACCTGTGAGGATCTCAAGTTTGCAATTAAGTCAGTGGATTGGGATGTAGTCACAGACAACTCTCCTATTTGTCTTGCACAAAAATGTCATTAATTTCTGTTTTAATCCTAAGCACCTTCTCCATATGGGCACTGAGCTGTCATCCTCTTTTGCGTTGCTACATGTATATGTTACCTCTGTCATATAAAGATGTCTTTACAAAATAATTGGCCAATTATTCTGCCAGTATTTGTTCTTTTTCACAATGAATTTATATTTCAACATAATTCAAATCAAAGAGTAATAAAATGTTATCTGAAATGATATATTTGTCTTCTACCCCAGCTAAAGCACAACTAGAGAGAATGTCTAGACATTGGCCTCTTATCATCAGTGATACAGTCATCTTCAACATGCTCTCAGTAAGTCATAGGTCATAGATCTGCTTTAGTGACAATTGCTGGGGCTTTAATTCACTTTAGTCAAATGGGTTTGGGATTAATAGGGCTATACATACATGAAAGCCATACAAGACTGCCTACTGGTGGCTACAAAGTTAGAACTGCTCATCATCTATGTGGATGGAACACTTTATATTTTCATAGAGAATACATACAAAATCAATTTTCATTTTCGTTATACTTGTACATTGTGTGTGTAGATATTGTAAATTGCTAAGGACATTGATTCAGTTCATTAGTATCGTATTGTATGGCTTCTCCATGTATATTTTTGTGTTTAGGTACATGTACATGCCTGAAGTTAGAAATATTGATTTAGGAAAGAAGAGAGAGGGGGGAGGTCACGCAACCTCTCGTTTAGTTTATTGATTTTTGTTTTTCTTTCTCAGATGTACCGTAGCAAACTAGCAAAGACAAAGATCTATTATTATTGAAATTTCATGAGTATGATCTTAAACCAGATCAGATCCATGTATTTTCATGTTAATTTTATGAACTTAGATAAATAGTAATGAAATATTTTAAAGATTGAGGTCTGTACAGGTTTATTTCCATTTCTTTATTTGATGTAGGTGCTCTTGTCCATAAATGGCACATTCTTGCACAGTACCCCCTCTAAACTTTTCCTCTTTAGGCAAAGTTATAATATCTGACATGGCAGTGATCGTTCAAATTTTAAGATTTGGCAAAACAATTACAACAGTCGGATTTTGAGAGGTTTTATTTCCAAGAAAATTAACCTCAAAATTCCATGATTTTATGACCTTAGTATTAATCATCTACCACCTACATGCTGACATGTTATAACAAAAAAACAATATGTACATGTACATGAAAGCCATACAAGAGAACTGCCCATCATCAATATGGATGGAACACTTTATATTTTCATAGAGAATACTTACAAAATCAATTTTCATTTCCAAGACATACTTGTACATTGTATAATATATGTAGATATTGTAAATTGTTAAAGACATTGATTCAGTTTGTTAGTATTGTATTGTATGGCTTCTCCATGTATATATTAGTGTATAGGTATATGTCGGAAGTTAGAAATATTGATTTAGGAAAGAAGAGAGAGATAAAGAGAGAGAAGGGGGGGCGAGAAAAGAGGAGAATTACCTGTAATCTTCAATTTTGTATTCCTTTATTTTTATCCCAAGCATATAGATCCATTACCATCACTTCTAATGAAGCCTGTTATAGATGAAGATGATGTTCTGGAGTGTAAAAAAGCCATTCTTCATCTTGTTGGCATGGAAACGAGAAATGAACCCCTGCCTATACCAAGCAGCACTACACGTGGGAAAGGTTCTAAAAAGTAAGATGCTCTTTAAAACTTGTTTTACCTCGTGCGAATGATCACAAGCTGGAGGCGGCTTTGTCTAGAATTTTTCTCTGAATGACCTTTACTACTGCACAAAGGAAGATAAGTGTGCGTGCAAACACGTGCTTATTCAAGACAAGGCCGGTCACCGGCGCTTATCTCGTAGCAGGAATCCCTCATTTGGTTGAAATCACACATCCAGTCGATGGATGTATGGTTGTTTAGTTTTCTGCTTTCGGGTTCGATAAAACTATACTTCCGTTCGATGGCTATATACTGCCCTTCCATGACAAAACAGCATAACTGACATTTCTTGCAAAATGGAGTAATTTAGGGTCTAAAACATACTGTTATCACTTATTTTGATAAGTCAACACTGAATAAAAACATTAAAACACCTTGAATAGCAGATTGAAAGGCATGTTTCTTCCTATATCTCAGAAACACTAAAATGTCAGTTATGCTGTTCTGGTGTGAAAGGGCAGTATAGTTGTATATCATTATGGCACTTCGAACCATACGCTGGAAACTATAAATGTGTTCATGAGTGCTTAGATGGATGGATGCATAGTTGTATAGTAGTATGGATGTACAGTTTCCTGTGTTCTGATTTTATAAAACTATACGTCCATTCGATAGCTATAATTAGTTTTATAGTTGTATGAATATTGGCAGGTTGTATATAAGCGGTGTCATTCAGATATACTGTACTTAAAAGGGATGTTTCCTTTTAAATGTTTTCTGTTAACTCAGTGCAAAATTCCAATACCGGTACTTTTAATGAAGATTCCTACATGTGTACTCACCAATATCATTGAAAACTATGTTTTGGCAGTGTTTTTTTATTCTTGGTAACAACAAATTTAGACTATTTGAATAACATGAGCTTTTTCTTTTTGAGCACACGTTTACTCTAATGGTGCCACCAAGTTTGTATGAGGACAATAATAATATTGGATAGATTAAAAGTGGTCATATTGAACAAAAATGGTGCCCATTGCTCTCTAGGATTATCCTGGCTCAAATCATAGTAGCTTTAGAGGCCATCGATCTAGCTCAGATGCAAAGTCATTTGTCTACCAGTAATTTTAACAAAATGAGACTTTCATGCCAGCAACAAGGCAGACTAGGGTCTCTACCCTGAAGACTAGCACACCCATTTGACAATACGACCGCTATATTGATAGTAAAGTAATATCTTGAACAACTCTACTACAACAGGGTATGGTAGTAGAGTAATATCTTGAATAACTCTACTACAACAGGGTATGGTAGTAAAGTAATATCTTGAATATCTCTACTACAACGGGGTATGGTAGTAAAGTAATATCTGGAATAACTCAACTACAACAGGGTATGGTAGTAAAGTAATATCTTGAATAACTCTACTACAACAGGGAATGGTGGTAAAGTAATATCTTGAATAACTCTACTACAACAGGGAATGGTAGTAAAGTAATATCTTGAATAACTCTACTACAACAGGGTATGGTAGTAAAGTAATATCTTGAATAACTCTACTACAACAGGGTATGGTAGTAAAGTAATATCTTGAATAACTCTTCTACAACAGGGTATCAGTCAGACCGCAGCCGGTGCGAAAACCCTCTATTTTATTCAGCACGTATGCAAGAATTTACGTGTCTCGCATACGTAATGAGTAGTGCAGACGGTCTTCCCGATCGGCAGTTTTTGCCTTTATAATTGTTCATTTCTCATGAAATGGGTCTTATTTTAAAGATAAGAAGTTGCACTCTCTATATACTTATATGACAATCATGTTAGATATATTTTGGAAACAGATATTTCGCCTTGAAAATGGGGTTTTTCGACGATAAATCTATATAAAGAGTAGGGCTAATTTTCACATAGAAATCATTCTTGCGTCAAGAAGATGTTATAATCAGCATAAAGCATAAATATTTTTCTTTACAATGATATCAAAATTATTATATTTTACGCTGTCCCAAAGTCAGGAACCAAAAAAGATCACGCTCATGTTCATGAATAATTAAAAAAAGTAGTAAATTTTGCCGATGTGATAATAGAGAGTTCTGATTGGTCAACTACGTCAACTACGTCACGTATGTTTCGCTTTGGTTTATTATCATTCTGAATACCACATCTTGGTAACCATGCGTTGTGGCGTGCGCCTGTAATGCACGTGCGCGCAAGCCGTCTTGACAACAATCTAAGGACCCGAGATCAAATACCTCACATGCCATGTAGATGTTTCTTTTCTACTGTATTTCTTTTTTAATCATTTTTCTAATTTTTTTTCGGCTAGTCGATGGCGCGGCGGAGCTCCCTGGAGTTTAATAATCAGTTATGCATTGCCATTGCTCAGACGGCGAGCGTGCACGAGTATGAAATCACACAATTTCGCGCTATCATAAAAAGAACAAATTGGTAATTTCCGGGTTTTTAGGGTCTTAATTACTATGATTATAAAAAGAACATGATTTTGCGTCAATTAGGTTTTGACATATTTTTGATCAGTGACTTTTCATCTTTCGAACGAATCTCAAAGTGGACAAATTTATTTTGTCCCAAAGTCAGGAACCAAAAGTGAAATTCCCGGGTCAAAACAGCAGTTGAAATGTTACAAAAATAGCGTCAATAAAAGTTGTGAAAATTATTGTTTACAAATTGCGAAATATGGCAAATTACATATCAAACTGATGCTGAAAATCTCGAGAGTGACTTTCCGTTGCATGCTGCCATGTTGAATGAAGTTAACGACCAAAAACGCAGCTACATGTACACCCCTACAAATCTCACTGAAAAGCGCATGGAAATTCAGCAGACGTAAATGTTATGTGATCGCCAGATATCGCTGAATAAAAATCAGCTTTCAGCCTCATTAACGCGCGCGCTGCGGTCTGACTGATGGTAGTAAAGTAATATCTTGAATAACTCTACTACAACAGGGTATGGTAGTAAAGTAATATCTTGAATAACTCTACTACAACGGGGTATGGTAGTAAAGTAATATCTTGAATAACTCTACTACAACAGGGTATGGTAGTAAAGTAATATCTTGAATAACTCTACTACAACAGGGAATGGTGGTAAAGTAATATCTTGAATAACTCTACTACAACAGGGAATGGTAGTAAAGTAATATCTTGAATAACTCTACTACAACAGGGTATGGTAGTAAAGTAATATCTTGAATAACTCTACTACAACAGGGTATGGTAGTAAAGTAATATCTTGAATAACTCTACTACAACAGGGTATGGTAGTAAAGTAATATCTTGAATAACTCTACTACAACAGGGAATGGTAGTAAAGTAATATCTTGAATAACTCTACTACAACAGGGTATGGTAGTAAAGTAATATCTTGAATAACTCTACTACAACAGGGTATGGTAGTAAAGTAATATCTTGAATAACTCTACTACAACAGGGAAGAACAGTACAGACTGATGTGGTCAGAGTTAGAGACGTATGTGAGGGCAGCAAGCACAACATCATCGGCTCATGAAGAGGTCTTGGAATGCCTCCTTGCCTGTAAGAAACCTGACGAAGCATCCCCCTCTAGAGGGCGCAAGACGTCTTCTGAAAAATCAACCACCAAATCCGAGAAGCCAGAAGCAGAGAAGATGGACACCTCTTCTAGTAAAACAGAAGGGTAAGTCTGATAGTATCTGAATTGTTTTTTAATTAACTTTAATTAACTTAATTTTTTATTAACCATAACAATATTTATATCTATTTGATTTTGCAATACACAAAAGTCTTTTTTTGTTTTCAACAGTTTTAATCATTGCCCTCGAAGCTATCAATATTTGTAAACTAATACATATTATATACCTCTTTTTAGTATGTTAAATAAATCTTGTCATCTGATTGGTCGAAATTGGAGCAACGATTTTAGCCATGCTCGCCTACCGGTCAATAATTTTTAAAAGATGCCCGTTGCCCCAGGTAACGGGCCGCATGAATAAAATTTGCTTAGATCCCCATTGGTTTACGTGTAAATTTTGTTTTGTGCGAGCACGGAAACAAAATACAGTGCTGTGTGTGTGTGTTTCCCATCTTGGGGTCATAACAGGTTGTAACGTCCCCTTGAGCCTATAGAAACAGCGATGCCTGCCGTAGCAGTCAATATTTCTATATTAGGGACTTTTCGATTTGCACTTTCATAAGTGGACTGCAACGTATGCGGTCATTTTTAAGCAGGGTACACGAGGCACGCTGACTGATGTTCGTTACCTTTACGATTTTACACAACTACGACGCTCGCTTAGTGAGCGCGAAACTCGATCGAATAGCTAAAGATATAACACCAAATTCTGTGCATGGCACTGTTCTCAAAAATTATGCTGCAACAGATTAGCATTGCATAAGTAAAATGTGTTCATTTTATGAATTATTCTGCTTAGTGAGTGCGAAATTCAATCGAAAAGCTAAAGATTCAACACACCAAATTCGGTGTATGGGACTGATCTCAAAAATTATGCTGCAACAAATTGGCGATGCACATATAAAATGTGTTCATTTTATGAATTATTCTGCAACAATTTTGACTTAAGGGAAATTACAAGCACGAAAATGTGTTAATTTAAGAGAATTCACGCTTCCACCACCCTCCGGTTCTAGAATCAGGTCAATTGGGTCCATTTTGTGACTTCAATGTGAAGTTTCGTGCCTACAAAAGATTGCTTACGAACATGTATCGTCACAGTTTGCGAACGGAGGCAAAACAAGGGCCTACGCGTTCGAGAATTCTGCTACGAACAATGAGCTGGTCGATGCGCATGCGCACTGCTTCAAAAGTGACAGCATACGTTGCAGTCCACTAGTGAACGTACAAATCGAAAAGTCCCTATTCATGTATAAACAATTTCACGGCAAATCATTTAATTTTATTTCAACAGGACTGCCACCACAACAGATGTAGCAGGAGCCAACCTCTTCCCCAGGAATCCCTTAGAGCCACCACCCATCAAGAAACAGAAGATAAATGCTGGAGACACAATTGGCAGGGCAAAAGGTAAGACCAGAACAGGAAAATATTATTGGAAGACTGGAGATATTGTAGGCAGAGGAGGACCAGTAAACTAGCCGAAGAAATGGAAAACAGAGATAGAAAAAGAGACATAGAGAAAGACAGTCAAATGAGGAGAGTGAAACAAATAAACAATTTCCTTTTGCATATTATAGTTCTAAAAGTACTTTTAGCCACAATTCTTTTAGAATACCGATACAGATAACAGTACAGCTCACAACAGGTGCTCACTTTTTAAATTGCCTATTGTTTTGAGCTACGAATATGAAATAATATGACAAAATAAGGAAAGGAGGAGGGTTTGGGGTTAGGGTGAAGCAATGAATAGAGATGAATATGTGCATCTTCATGTATTAAATTTCATCATTTCCTATTGTTATGTCTTAAATAACATTCATAATCATACCTTGCCTGGTTATTAATTTTCTAGGTGCTCCAGAATCTCTCCTTTCTTTATGGAAGACAAGGATTGCTAGCCTCCATTCCAGGAGTCAGAGGGAATTCTCAGGGCGAGCCGAGTCAAAGGAAGCAAAAGCTGATCTTTATCCCAATCTCCCGAAAAAGGAAAATGGCAAATGAAGAGATCAGTTACAAACTATGCTAGGGAGATGAACATGAACAATTCTTGATGGAGTGTGAAATGTCTTGGAATTGAAGATGGTTTACATCCTTGCTGGAGCTATTGAAATATGATAAGATCATGTAATTCTATCATTGTAATATTTGCACATTTTCAGAGGTGATTCACAAGGCTATAGAATTGCTATAAGTTGATTTTTCATATTCTTTGTGATTATATAAGCAAGTGAAGCAACTTTTGTTCTACAAGAATCGTATAAAAGCTGAATATGCAATAAGCTGGCCATTCGGGTCGCAGCCTACAGATAAAGTCACATTGTGAAACTCCCTACTGGTAGACTACGATATCATAGTCACATGCTTGATATGACGCTGTATGTGCATGGGTGCAGGACCGACCGTGCTGCTCAGAAAGGATGTGAGTAGCACAATCTTCAGATGATAATGTCTACACTAGGAAACAATAGGAGAAGAGCATGAATGTAGAAGATTGCTGGACATTGAAGGAGATATACATGTACTATTGCTGGACATTGAAGGAGATAAACATGAACTACATGTAGATCCAACTAAAGATTGTCCAAGGTGACCTGTGTCACCATCAAGACAGTAACCAAGATAATACCCATGCAATTGTCATTGAGGTTATGGTTTAAGACAAAGACCAAGGTAAAGACCAGTATTGGAAACGCCCCAATTTCAAAAAAAGAAATGGAAGATCTTATTACCAATCATGTGAAAGAATACGTTTTGACTAATACATGATGATAAAAATTTTGTTGGGAAACCGCCTACTAATTGATATATTTGGTAAATTAGTTTATCTATTGGTATGTGAGAGATAAACGCACGTGTCATGCACGTGTGCGTAGTCCCATATACATCTTTCTGTGTACAGTGCTTGTAACTTTACGAAGACTGGGCCAAATTTCTTATCATTTTGATGATTCCAGAACCTTGCAATATACACCAATACTTATATGCTAAATGATCAACCATTTCTGATCGATTCCACAACGTTTTTTTCACAATGCAATCGCTCGACCAGAACTGGTCTTTACCTTAAACCCGTTAACTACTGTATTACCGGGGTATCTAAATCCAATATGATTAAAACGGAGACCACCCGGTTCCAGTGGGCAATGGGTTAAAATGGTGATGGATTACTTACACAAATGTACACACAAGTAATAATTCACTTTCTCAGATTCATGAGCATTTCAAAGGAGCAAGATCCCATTCTACATACAGTCTGAAAATTCCATTTGATCAAGAAGATTGAGATTTAATCAAATGAATTGTATGGATACAAGATATCTTATTATCCAACTATATTAAGAGCAAGAGTTTTCCCTTTATAAGTTTGCCTATTATTCTGACAATGTTACCTCTTAAAAGACAAACATGGCCACAATGGACACACTTCTTTACATACGATGGTTCTGTGAGCAGTGTTAGATGAGAATACATGCTCTCTCTCTCTCTCTCTCTCTCTCTCTGTTTCTCTTGTAATCTGAAGTACGTATATGTAGCACCTCTAGTGTAGGCCTAGTCGGAGACACATGCCCCATGGTTTCCTTGAAATACTTTCACTTTACTTCACATATCATCAGGTCTATAATCAACTTCAGTGTCAATTGCTCAATGTGTTCATGTATTTAAGTTTCTAATGTTTATTTGAAAATACATGCAAACTTCTTTTCCAATATGTTAGTACAAGATTAGAAATTTCTTTATTTGGAAGATTCTGCAATTATGTAAAAAACAGGCTGACTAAGTTTATTTCTTAATATTGGAGAAAGGCATCTTATACTTGCAAGCTATGAAAGGTAGCTTTAGTTATTTAATATTAAGTCTCTGCAACTGAAAGTGGTATTGGGTTTTAAAGTGTATTAAATCGTATCTTAACATAATTTGATAGATAAGTTGGTATTTATTTTGAACTTGATAATGAATGGCTTTATTTTGTCATTTGTCATTTGTGAAAGTGTGGTTGTTTACTAAGACATTTGAAACCCTGTCTGTGTCTCTGGATATCTCAACAATTATCAGTAAAACAGTCTTTTTTATTGTTTAATTAATTTATTTACTTTTATCAGATTGACTAAAACAGCATAAATGTGAACATAAAAATAGAAATAGCCATTTTCAATCTACCTATGAAAGATAATGAATTGGTAGGTGGGATTCATGCAGTAATGATGAGCACATGAGCCACCAAGTTCTATCCTTCACCTTTACTTAAGTACAGGAGGGTGTTTCACAAAGCCTTTTTTCAATGACGAATGACAAATATCAGTGACAAATCTGTTGATAACCAATCAGAAGCAAAGATTTCTGTAGCTTATAACAAAAACTGTCATTTGTCACTGATGACAAGTTTTGTGAAGCGGGGCCCTGGACCACCATCTAAGACGCCAAGTTAAGATGTAGTCATTCCGTTCTTTGTGGCTTAAAGTGGACATTTTTCCAGATTCAAACTAAAATATATGAAGGAATGATATATTAAAAAGAAGGTTGAATTGTAGTAAAGGAAAGGGTAATTTGTGAGATTTGTTTTATATTGGTTAGAAAGAACTTGGTAGAAATGACATATGGAAGGATTACACTTTAATAGAATGCCCTCATAAGCCAAATATGACAAGAAATAGATGCAAGATTTTGACCCAACATGTGTGTAGTGTATATATTGGTTCTTAATTTATGTATTGTATAATCGGCCTTTCCCAATCGATTCCAGACAATTTATTTCTCAATCCCATCCCATGTCAAGAACTTCACTTAATCTTTAATGTCGTAATACGGAGTAAGTACCGGTAAGCCACAAAGAACTCGACCATGCATGCAGCTTGATTGTGAAGGGTGGGTGATGAGCCCATTTATTTGTGATCATCAGCAGTAATACATCAGCTTGAAGAAAACCCTGCAAATCAATCCAGAAATGACAAACATAAATACAAGTATAGATTCTTATCAACATATGTGAACAGTCGATTTTACAGGCATATCACATATCTGATTAAACTGTTGGTTTACAATATTAATCTACATAAACTGTGACATTAATGTACATCAATGACAATAGAATAATACAGATAATCTTGAAGTCTTCAAAAAGCACATGTTATAGGAAAGCATCTTCAAAATACATTAATACATACATTTCTTGCACTTCAGATGTGTCATTGAGTTCTGTTTATAACTTAAAGTGAAAGCCTTCCAGATTCAAAATAAGATATATCAAGATGAAGGAAGGAAAGCCTACAACGAAAATCTAAACTTCATTTCACTTAAAAAGATAAAAAATAATCTAAATCACTAATGAGAAGTGATTTATTTTTTAGGAATGATTAAGATTCAAAGTTGTCTATTTCTTTGAACTGTTCCTAATTTGGACAATGCATACCATTATAGCAACTATGACCTTTTAGTATGATATACGTCCTCCAAGAAAGATTACCGAGTCAGAGTCCTTTTCAGCTCTCTCTCTCTTACACATGGTGCAACCGCAAACCTACTGTATACGTCCTGCGATATATACAAAAACAGAAGAGGGAAAGAAGAAACAAGGCAAAGGTGTTTGTTTCATGCAATAATCTATATAAAACTCTTATTTTTTATTTTTTTATTATCCATCTCCTCTCTCTTTTTTTTGTTATGGATGAGGTCTGCTTAGATTGGTGCTGCGTCCTGCGTGTACATGTATTTGCAAATTTGAGCAGTTAAGTGATCAGACTGGTGTTAGAAAAAGATCTCACAGTTAAACAACAATGATATTGTAATCGACCATTATGTGTATTGCCCTTATAAACACTTGTGTATGCATCAAGTTTAGCAGAGTAAGACTAGCAGCCCTTATTTTACCAGAATTCAAAAGTTTTGTTTAAAATTGGGTTTAACAGCTTTTTTTTTTCTTGCAGATGATTTAAGACCCAGGGTCAGGTTTAACTAAAGTATTAAAAACATACCATTCAATTTTATGGTGATACAGCAACATAAAACTTGTAAATCATTTGTAAAAGTATGATTTTTCTTTTCAAATAAAACATCTTTATAAGAAATACGATATGTACTTTGTTTCGTATAATATGTATATTTTTTGTAAGGTACTATGTTTATCATATTTCTAATGTGGGGACAATGCTGGTCAATTTCTTATTATTTGGTTTTGTCTTTTGTGATGAATAAGAGCTTTCAATCACATTTGGTTAGGGAAATATTGAAGTGCCACCCCAATCCATTTATGTATATCTTTCTCTCTCTCTCTCTCTCTCAAAATATCTCTCCAATCATCCCACTCTAACTCTTTCTCTCCATACAAGGATGTATAACGAGTGAGTAAAAGTTGTGAGAGATATTGAATGCATGTACGGAGAATAATTTTGAATTAAATTGATGGTCTATTGATCCAAAATTTCATTAAAACTCAAATGTGATTTCTGTACAATAACTGAGATTGAAGGAAAAAAAGGCATACATACAAGCACTGACGTTTTGATAGAGGGGAGCAAATAAAATCCAAAGGTGGTTTATTTCTAATGTGATACCAGTGATATACAAATGATGCCGAATTGGCATGATTTTCCGGGGGGTTTTCTAATTTTTGTAAGCGTTTTTGGAAAATGACAAATTCCCAAATTTACAGTCAGCCTAAAAAAAAGCTTTTTTTTTTAGAAGCATACAAGCCAGGGCCCGCGGAATGGCAGGGCTCGAGGGTCCGAGCCCATCCCTCCTTCTTTTGAAAAAGAATGTTAAAGAGAAATACAGAGAAGGAACGAAATTGTGACCTGCCGGTGTCACAAGTGAGATATTAAAATATGCTCATCTGACCGTGATTAAATGCCTAAAACCCCTGAGCTTGTGGGGCTCCGCCCCGTGGACCCCACCTCCTGGATGCTATTGCAGAGCTGCCAACTAGTACGGATTTTCCGTAATTGGTACGGAAATTAACGACCATTACGGAATGTTGTCTCAAATTACGGATTTTAAAAAAAAAAAAATTTTTTTTTTTTTTTTTTTTTTTTTTTTTTTTTTTTTTTTTTTTTTTTAATGAATTAAATATGATTTATCGTAGCGAGTGCTGTGAATAGGAGCCATTTTTCATGATAAACTGTGTTGTGATGACCGCATAAGAAATTACTGATTTATACCCCAAATTACTGATTTTGAGCCTTGTGATTACTGATTTTCTGTTCTGGAGGTTGGCAGCTCTGCTATTGTGTTACAGATCAATGTTTTGTATTGGTTTTTTTAATGTTTAGTCCGTCTGACTTATTTTCATTATACTAACAATATGCTATTGCAATTTTTGTTTCGCAGTGTAATGTTTATCTATGAATTTCTGTATTTTTTGTGTTCTATTTGAGTTGTTGTTGTTGTTTTTTCTTCTTATATTTCCTTAATCAGGACCATGATCAAAAACAGCTTTGCTGATCTTGTTTTTATCCTGTATAAATATGTTTCTCACACACTCTTCTCTTTCTTATATTCTCCCTCATGTTCACTGAGACTATTCTCAGCCCCCCCCCCCCCCTCTCTCTCTCTCTATCTATCTATCTACCGTATCTATCTCTCTATCTCTCTCTTTCTCTCTCTCTCTCTCTCTCTCTCTCTCTCTCTATCTATCTCTCTATCTCTCTCTTTCCCTCTCTCTCTCTCTCTCTCTCTCTCTCTCTTTCTCTCACTATCTATCTCTCTATCTCTCTCTTTCCCTCTCTCTCTCTCTTCCCCCTCTCCCTCTTTCTCGCTCCGACACCTCTCTCTGCATGGCAACGCCAAATATTATTAAACAAAACACACAGTTGCAATGTGTTAATACCTATGCAAATAAAATTAATTAATTTTACGAGACAAAAATCGATCAGCAGTTTTGTATAAATGGAAATAGATTATAATGTTGTTCGATGCAATTTGAATTACTATCAGCCTGTAGGATAAGGTTCTATTTGATGAATATTTGTGCAAGTGCATCCAATAATACTAAACGTGAATGATTGAGTGTAAATTATTATGAATTGCTTCTACAGGCGGAAAACAACGAAGAAGGTGAGAATTAACATTTACTATAAAATGTATGACTTTTCTATATTGTTATTATCATGTGCATGATGAACGACTTGCACGAATCGTTATCTGTAATGTAGGTTTCAAGCATTCGATGTGCGTCTTTTATGTAGGCGTTTTGTTGGATTTCTAGAGCACCCTTTTACATGAGGATACAAAGCGATGAGGTACACTATTACGTCTGCTTTACCTTCACTGGAGTACACCGTTTCTCCCTTTTCTAAATAAATCTATCTCCAATCCAATTTCTCTCTCTCCCTCTCTCTCTCTCTCTCTCTCTCTCTCTCTCTCTCTCTCGCTGTATCTATCTATCTTTCTATCAACTTCTAATATTTCCCCATCATGTATGTCCACTTCTATTTCCTTCAATGTCAACTTGTCTATTTGTTTGTTTGTTTGATTGATTTTATTTCTGCGTTCAAAAATATACACATTCAAATTCAAGCCATCGAACATTGTTACGTTCTGAACTTCGCTTCCGATTTACTCTCAACTCATCAAAACATCATATTCGACGTAATCAAATCATAAAAATCTTTTTTTCTTCATGCACTTCTAGATGCTTCTCATCATATGTGTCGGTGTCGTGTTTTATACAGCATACACTATCATGATGCCAATCCTTGAGATAACATTATTTCTTCGTAATATATCTCGTGTAATGGAAAGTACAGATGACAGGCATCATCGTCTTAAAGTTGGTAAGGAGAACGTCACACCCTCATTAATAATAACGCGACCATTTATCAGAAACAAGACAGAACAACCACGACAACAACAATACTTCAAGCATAATGACCGCGAAATGTATGTTATTATTCATTCATAATATTTGGGACTAAAATGCTAGTCAAAATGATTAGAAATTACGATAATAATTCGTTTTGCTGTATTTATTATGTTGTTGTACTTTTCATTACATAACATTATCCACAATCTACACATGTCGATGAATGTAATAGGATATTAATAAATCCTTCCCTTTTGTAATGTGTTATATTATCTATCATTTCAAGTGTATTACTAATATCAGTAGTGGTCAAACCAAAAATTTGTTTGTCAATGACATTGGTTTGTATGAATAACAAATATATATAATTATATTACTTATGTTGGCGTTTTGCTTGAATTCGTATGCATTAAAAAAAGCAAGCACAAGCAATTACATCATACCCGCAAACAAATGTTAAAAGATCAAAAATTGCTTTAAAACGTGTGCATTAAAAGAACCATCTGCTTGTTTGTAAAAGCAATTGCTTGCATTTTTAAAGCTTCGTCATACCAGCTTCAGGCCTGCCTAATCGGGACGTTCGCTTTTAAGCATCATGTCCATGTTTGTAAGAGAAAAGCCAACGTTGAACAGGAATAGAATAAATCGAGAATAAATTGCTCGTGAAACCTATCGGAAACCTTTTCCTCTCAATAAGGAGAACTTAGAGTGATTGGCACATAGATTCGTTACTAAACACAATGATAAGAAACGAGGAGGGTGTCTGAATCCGGTGGAAAGCCCCCCCCCCCCCCCCCCTCCTCCCAACATGCATGATATTTGGACATGATATACGAAAACCATCGTTAAATTGGGTTCGCACTGGCTTGACGTCATAGTTGGCTATGACGGGCTGTACAAGCCAATATTCGTACAACTATACTGTCATCGAATGGACGTATACTTTTGACCAATCAGAACGCAGGAAACGTACGTCCAAACAACTTTGCATCCGTCGAAGCACTCATGGCCACAGTCAGGCGCGTACGCAGGATTTTTTCAAGGGGGGGGGTTTTAACATTTATAAATCGGTCCGAAAATTTCGCAACGACTCAGCCAGCCGCTGAATAAGCGGGGGGGGGGGGGGGGGGGGGGGGGGGGGGTAAGAGGACACTTTTTTTTTTTTTTTTTGGTCTCGAAATTTGGAAATTTGACATTTTGCTCCGTTGGAGGGGGGTAAGGTCACCTTTTTTAGGTCGGCCATGGGAATAATTTTTTTTTTTTTTTTTTTTTTTTAATAATTAAAAAAAAAAAAAAAAAAAAAAAAAAAAAATCCAAAAGGGGGGGGGGGGGGGGGGGGGGGGGGGGGTTTTAGGTTTTTTTAAGGGGGGTTTACACACAAAAAATTACCAAAGGGGGGGGTTTAACCCCCCAAACCCCCCCCCCCCCCCCCCCCCCCCTGCGTACGCGCCTGGCCACAGTTTCTAGCGTTCGGACCGAAGTGAATTCTATATTACATCCATCGAAGGGATTTATGATTTTAACCAAATGAGGGATTACCGCTGCGAGATTTCTCTGTAATTTGCCTCGAATGACATTTACTCAATTCAAAGAAAGACACGTGTGCGTCGAACACGTGCTTATCAAGACAAGGCCGGTCGCCCGCGCCTATCCCGCAGCAGTAACCCCTCATTCGGTCAAAATCACACAGCCATTCGATTGATGTATGGTTTTTCAGTTTTCTGCGTTCTGATTGGATAAAACTAAATGTTCATTCGATGCCTGTAAAGTTGACATAAGTAGACATAAATTATTATCCGTCTTTTGAGACACTAATGCTAAAATACACATGATGCAATAACCCTCTCTTCTTCGTAAGAAGTGCGCGTGTATGTGTGTGTGTGTGGGGGGGGGGGGATTCTGGCACTGCTAGTCGTCCTGTACAGAACAAATGCTATTGTCAAATGTCAATTTTGTTTTCGTGATCTCTGTAGGTAGACCAAGTGTTCCTGAGGATAGAGCCATACTTCCTCGTATGCCATCAGAAGACCACCAAAAGAACATCCAGATGGGTGCCACTTTGGCCGGCATCACTACAAAACGAACAGAGGATGAAAAGAAAGGCCCACTGCTCAACAACGATTTTGACCCCGTGAAAAACCTCTTGAAGGTAAGTGGTCTTAAAGGTACTATGTCCCTTCTGCAGCCAACCTCAAATTATGTAGAACTTTGCAGGAATTATGAATATGTCATGTATGTCCTATCTGTGAAATTTAAACGTCAGCAGTGTCCTCATACTCAAATTATGCAAGGAAACCCGTTTACTTGCTAGACTTCACTGTCAGACACATTGAGTGACTGACTGGCCTTTTTTCTTCTTCGGTAATAACATACATAAAAAGAGTTGTAAAGGGTACATGAGCATTTGTCTACATCAATAACCCACTTCTTGTGATGGCCAAGATTAAACTGATTGAATCGTTGCGCAGCATAAAACGTATGACCATTCTGTACAATTGTCTGAAAATCAAGACTATTACTTTTGGGCTCTATAGCCCTAAAGTCGATTTGACAACTAATAGTCGTTATTTTCCCACTTGAAGACATTTTCAAGCCCTACCTTTTTAGGGAAGTTCTAAATTAGTATTATCTTTCAAATGCAGTTGGAATTTAACTTTTTCATTTTTTTGGCCTGCAAATGGGACATAGTACCTTTAATAGGAAGGAAGCGATATACGGAAGGGTTCTCTATGACTTGGTAAGTGACGTCGGATCTGTTATGGAAGCCAAATGGCAAGCTACACATTAGGCTGGAATGACTGTGTACTATTACTACATATAATAATAATAATATTTATGATAATCATCAATGATTGCTATACGGTCTTAGCACGGATGCTATCAAAAAGGCCCAAGCATTTTAAGGGATTCTTTTTTTACCAGGTACATAATTATTCATCCCTCTTTGGTCAAGAGTGGCAAATGTAGATTAACGTTTGCCAAATGACGCCGTATTGTTGTAGATTTGAACCCATGATTCACCAACCCGTGTTTTATCCACTAGAACAAAATCCCATACAATAACGACTTTGCTAATCAAAAGTTGCTTCATCATACCTTTTCAACACACAACTACAAATGCATGCCATTAATCATTAATACAGTTTCTTACATTTAGTTATACGATGTAATATGTTGACGTAGGATGTCCCATAAATACAGTGTATAAGATCCATAGGTCTATCAGGCTATTATTTCATTTGTTGTTGCTATCCAGCCTCCAGGAGATCCCTATAAAAATTTGCTTTCATTGAAACCTTTATCCATGTTATTGTTTTGTTGACTGCGACGCGGTAGTATGGTGTCCCAAATTGGAGAAAAAATAGACAATAATCTTTTTTTGGTAACACTATACAAAAATTAGTATATTAGCTCGTGAATATGGCGAGAAATGATAGACAACATATATTATGACATGTTTACAGATGTAGTTTTTAAATGGGGGGGGGTGCGGGGGATGTGACATTAGTTTTATTATGGCTTCCTTTTACAACCTTCTGATTAGAGCTCCGAGAAAAGACTGTCCATGGAATTGGCTATCTTTTAGTTTAGCGTTGGTAGTAAACTTTAGACCTTCATCATGTTCGTTCAGCAAAACAGCAGTGGAATAATGGCACAGCCTAGGAGGGGCCAGGGGCGGATCTAGGGGGAATCGGCTTCGCCACTCCCCCTGTTTTAGTCCTAAATAGGGGGAGAGCGACGGGAGAAAAAATGGAGAAAACAAATAGAAGTTAACAGAGAAGAGGGGATGAAAAGGGAAAAAGAGAGAACAAATGAAAGAAAAGAAAATCGCTACCCTGAGTAACGGTTCGGCAACGTATTGGATGGGATGAAAACTCAACCCCACCGCAAGCTATGCGAAATGCGTGCATATATGTTTACGTAAGTACGGATTGGAGGAGTGAATCGGTCCCGGCCACTTTTATAGGAGCATACAAAATAGAAAAAAGAGATCGACTGTAGAAAAGGGAGAAATGAAAGGAAAAAGAAGGTTAAAGAGAAGGAGATAATATGGAGAAAGGAAAATGAAAGAAATAGCGATAGAGAGATAAAGAAAAACAGACAGACAGACAGAAAAGAAAGAAGAGAAAAATAAAGAAATGTAAAAAAAAAAATGTACACATGCATACTATTTAATGTGAATTGGCACAACATGTGCCTACGAATGAGAAGAAGAAGAACAAAAAATCGATGAAGAGACAGAGAAATGAATTATGACGAAATGTAATGAGAGGGGATGTGGGAATTTCAAGGAGAAAGTTCATATTTCTATTGCTCGAGAAGACCATCTTGAGGTTCTAAATTGTTAAAAACTCAAAAGCATCTTTGGGCTTAGATATCACACAAAATGTTGAGCTTCCTGGCGTATTCCAATTAACCCCCGTTTCTTTTCTTTTTATTATCATAATATATACATGTATTTGTTATCAATTTTGTTAATATCTTTTGGAGGTGATGGCGTAATTTGTTCAAAGCATAACATTTGGAATGACGTATTGCTCATTGTATTTCTAACATGCACACATTTTCCTATTTGGATCTTTATACATGTATGTAGCAGTTCGATCATTTAAAATGGCGAATAAAATAAAATCATCTATATATTATCACAAATTTCACCAGATGAACAAAACGAAACCATGAAGGCTAATATAATTGTACATTATGAATATATCCGCCCCCCAATGGATGGCTTTATTATTCTGGTTTCATTATGCCTCGTAATACATGTCCCAACCAACCCCTAATGATTCCAATGCCAACTCAATGACTAGACATAGGATACGCCATTGTAAGGTGGTTTTTTCACGGATACAAACATTCTCTTCAATTTCGTTCGGACTCCAACGAAAGTTTATTTTGGATCAGATAGATGAACCCTCATCCAAATTTGTTCCGTACGTCGACTGTGGAAATAAAGGTGCGCCATCTTGCGCCGATGCTCAATATCTAATCAGCGAACTGGCCAAGGCATACCGAGATTCTTCTTCTTCTTCTTCTTCTTCTTCTTCTTCTTCTTCTTCTTCTTCTTCTTCTTCTTCTCCCTCCTCCTCTTTTTTCTTCCTCCTCCTCTTCCTCCTTCTTCTCATCCTTCGTCATCTTCTTTTTCTCAGGCTCCCCCTACTTCTTCTTTATCTTCTTCTTCTTGTTGTCCTTGTCCTTCTTCTCCTCCTCCTTTCTCTCTCTCTCTCTCTCTCTCTCTCTCTCTCTCTCTTCCCCGTCTCCCTAGAACCATCTATCTTTTCTCTGTTGCAAAATATCACAAACTCATGCGAGATTATGTACCTCTACCCCTATACGCAATTAAATCGTATTTACCATGAAGTAGACTAGAGTCCTAGTTATAAGGTATAGAAAAAGACATTGGATGAATTTAACCATCTCACACATACCGTAAGACTCCCCCCCCCCCCCCCCCACCTGTCCTTCTCCCTTCTTCCCCTACCTCTCTCTTTTCTCCATAAAAAAAATTTCATACATATCTACGAACACCCGGAGCTTCATTTCTATGTTTCTATGTATATCCATGGTCTGTCTCACTTATTTCTTAATTTCTTTCTTTCTCTTTTTTCCAGTTCTTTTCTTTCGTGAAGTACCTTTTTTGGACCAAATTTTTTTATTTTTTTTATTTTGGCGGTTAACCCCCCCCCCTCAATTATTATCATTTATTTATTTTTGCTCAAGTGGGGGGGGGGGGGGGGTAAAAACAAATTGGTGCTCCTTACACCCCCCCCCCCCCCCCCCCCCCCACCCACCTACTGAGCGAAATATCGGTAGGCGCGATTTTCACATTTTCAAACACCCTCCTTGAAAAAAATCCTGCGTATTTTATTTTTTAGTTAGCTGATTTGCATTTTGTTTCCTATTTCAAGTTTCAATTTTAGTTACTGGTAGTCAGGTTCTTCCGGTCTTGAAGCATTCCTTATCATAAGTTTTCACCTAGAACTGAGCTGAACTTCAAAGCATAAAAGGATGGTTTCTTTTACAATGTTCTGTCTTTAAGGCAAGCCATAGTTAATTACTCTGTTGGAGAGCATTGTGGGAGTAGTTCAAACAAATGACAGCATCGATTTGCTTGGGATTACTTTACACAGATGCTGTCGAAGGAAAAGGGAGACCGAACTCTACACCAAGGAGCCGAAGGCGGTCAAGAAGGGAAACAATTTCAACCGGAGTTTGCTCCGTTGCTAGGGATGATGGGCGTGCCCGCGTTGTCGCGCAATTCGGATCGCATCAATGCTAAGGACATCATGCTGAATGCTGTCTTGAAGAACAAATCGGCCGTGAAGATGTTACCCATGTTGATGTCGCTCTTGAGAAAACCCTCATGAGCTCAACGTCCTTCAGTCTGTGAAGGCCTTTATTTCTTAAGGGTAGTTTCACACATCAGCAGACACTATAAATAGGGGAAGAAAGGAGAATTTCTCATCAACTGTTACAAATAAGGAACTTACACGTTTTTTGGCCACGCTTTCTCAACAGAACAATAGTCTTGATATCAAATGATAACTAATTTTTCTTCTTCTTCTTCTTCTTCTTCTTCTTCGTTATCTCATCCTCCTTGTTTATCTTCTTTTTTTTTTATTCTTCTTCATCTTTTGTCATTATTGAAGGCGAAAATGTATGTGCGCTGTAAAATTAATGTATAGTTTTGGACCTAATATCGATTATTGGTGTTTAGGTGCCATGTTTGTCCCAATTGTACTTTTGAAAGAATTAGAAATTTTCTTATATTGTGAATATTTAATAAACATAATATATCACTTGACGTGATAAGAAAAAATTCAACCATAGATTTAAGTACTACATTAAAAACGAAGTTTCATTATTTTTTAACCCTAATTGTCAAAATCAAGTTTCTATTGATCAGTGTAACGGTTGTCATTAAAGGTATGATATTATACAGTGATGTGCAAACAGATTCTCTAATATATATTTATGAATGTTTTAAAATTATAGACTTGTTTACATGATATTTGAAATGGAATTCATAATATCAAGAAATGCTTTGGTATTTAACGTTTGTTTAGACTTTTCTTTCTGATCAAAATTTAGTTAACTCAAATTAATAGGACAGAGAAGAAGTAGGCTCCGTACCACAATTAATTCCAATCCTTTATCATGTCGTATCAGTTCATTTCATTGCACTTCATTTAATTTCCTTTTCATTTCTTTCCTCTCCTTTCCTTGACTATATTCCGCTTCCTCTTCATTTGTGCAAATACTGGTTATAATAATGAATACCTTGTCTGAACAAAATATTGCTGATTCAGAAGTTCGTCGATGATGAAATATATGGTATGTTATATTCATAAATACGTGTAAAGGGGAACACGAAAAGGGAAACGTCATTAAGTTCAATTTATCACACATTGTCTCCATTTGTTTTTATTGGGTCGGAGTAGAAGCTCGTTTCCTGTATAAGGTAAAAGAAAACAAGTAAGGAACGTAACTACAAAAGGATATGTTCAACAAAAGCGTGAAGCCTAGCTCCCTGCTATAGATTGCAAATAATTATGTTGTTTCAATGATGTGTTTGGGAAAGCTCACAGAGCAATAATTATTATGATATATGTATGGAAAATAGCATTTGCCTCCCTTGAATTCGAGCTTGTGAGAACAGGCTCTAGCAATATTTACGGTAAAATGCCCCAGAATTCACACATGCGGGTGAAGGTTACCGAAGGTTTCCGAAGGTTTATAATTCCGAAGGTTCGTAATTCCGACAGTTCGTAATTCTTAAAATAGGCTTCGTAATTTTGAAAATGGGGTTTGTAATTCCGACAATAAAATAGGGTTCATAATTATGAGGTTTCGTAACTCCAAACCTGACTTATAACAATGTAACCCTTTTGGAAATTACGAGCCTTCAGAATATTAAACCATAGTAGGTCCATGATTAAACTAACCTTATTTCATTTCCGGAATTACGAAACCCCTGGTATGGGAATGTGTATTACGAAATTCCAACCTTCGGCATTATGTACCTTCGGAAAAACGATCCTTCATAAAACCGAATGCATCCCTGGGTGAAATAGTTATGGTAAATAGGTATATGAGGTTTCAATGTCGACGTTCAATGTAGCTTCGGGGATCTATGCCTGCTCCCACAGAAATAACAAACTCTTCGGAGACCAGAATGTATATTCTATTCAAAAGAGAAAAGGGTGGTAATTTGTGCTAGGTCAGATAAATTGAATTGTAGAAATTATGCACGCGTCCCAGGCATGATTGCCTGCATGGATTCCTTTCATTGAGCTTTGAGAGAATGGAGAGAAATAATCAGCCTGTGAGATCCCAGCAAATTTCGATTGAAAAGTCAAATTCGGAGATCGATTGGCAACAAAACAGCCGGAGTGTTCAAGTCTTTGCAGGACGAGCATGATATTATCCACTGTTGTTACAAAACGTTTCAGTAGCAAACACATATACGCGTTTTAGTTTTTTTTTAAAAGGGGAAAAGTAAAATCTCTCTTTCCAGATATTGATATATTCCCTGACAGACAGATATTTCCAGACACCAAAATGTGCTAATATGTTCCCCAGTCTGGAGGCCCGCGAACGAAATTTTGCCTATTCTCCCATCATGGACAAAAGAAAATAAAGCTTCTTCTGAGAATGCTATATTAAACGGCAAATATAGATAGGGATAGATTTTTTTAAAGAAAACTTGGTCAGGAAGAAAACTCCTATGTTTTCTTTTCTTGGGCAGCACCGTTGGGCATGTTTGTCTGGATGCTGAATAACTAAGGTATATTCATTTATTTATACATTATTTGGCCAGTTGTGTATACGGTTCTCGAATTTTAAATTTGACACGACGAAAAAGGGCTCAATATAATAAATTGCCAAAACAAAACTCTACCTTGACTATTATTACAAACATGTGGGTAATGATGACGCAAATAATATGATTGTGCTTACGGCCTTAGTATTATACTAGGTCGCGTTTATCTCATCTAAAATTCCAATTTCTTTACAATATAAATAAACAAAGTGAGTTTAAATAGAGCACGGGAATATAATAGGTTTGTGTCAACACGTTGATACGGTTGCTCTTGACGTCTCGAAACATTGATTAATTGCTACACCTCAACGTGCCAATACTTGACGCACATCCCTTCACAACGTGGTTCAAGCCCACGCACACGTTCTCACTCACGCACTACACACACCTGTGCCTTAATTACGCTTGCAAACCCGTACTCCTCTATAGTAAAATATATTTATATTGACTATACCTTTTTTTGTCTGGTATTCTCGCAGGAGTTTCTGAGATGCTAAATACACGAAACACCTTTCCGTAAATAAACCCAAGGGAATGGAGGTTGTCCATCGCCTTTAGAAATATACGAACAATAGCCTTTTTATGAAATTATGGGTGCGTTTATCGTCCATTTTGTAATAACGTTTCGATGTAGGTTTGTGTTTAAAATAAGATCACTTTACTGCCGTATATATAGTAATTTCCTTTATATTCGTAATATTTTCATTCTCATATTCTGCTGCCTCATACGAAATAAGAAGGCAATATCATCTACTAGGTAATCAAAAGCGGGGCGTTGTTCCCTTACATGATTTTGATTATTTAGGGGTGTAGATTAGACCAGATTAGCCGACTTGTGAACTGAGGGGATGACATGTCACCCACACACATTTACCTTTGTCCTTGCAAACCCATATATATTATGTATCATTAAAGAAGATACAACCGTAAAAGCAAACAACATCAACAAAAAGCAGACACATTGGAAAAGCAGACTCGTGAAAGTTTGAACGAAATCGGAAAAAATAAGGAAGTTATGAATGTTGAAAGTTGTACTTACTTTTGTTTCCAACTCATGATGATCTTTTCTTTCTAAAAAACCTGTAATGATCAAATATACTCTCCATAATATATTTGAGTAGTGCCGCAAGGGTGAAGGCACTTGGGAGAAAAACAGATGTTTTGGTAAACGACAAACGGGAGAGTTATCTGCGACTACGTCACAATCCACAGACCAAGTTGCCAATTTAAGATTTGCATAGATGTAGTGATCTCATATTTCAAACAATCACATTTTTTCTTACTATTGGTCCGATCTATTACGAACTTACGCCACCCTGTTTCTCTGATTTTCCTGCTTCAATTCGAATGAACGTAAACCAAGCGTTGGGTTGCCCTTTAAAGCATACATGATAGTAAGCTAATAAGAAATGCAAATTTCTTTTCTTTTAACAGAGTATATATATGAGACATTCACTGGGCATACAAACATGATAATTACATTATTCCGTTTTGGTATTCATGCCTAGAATTACACAATTCAAGTTAATTTAATCTGACTCGGTATGAAAGGATCCTGTAAATAGTCATGACCTACTTCATGGTCTATTTAATAAGAGGGACGTTTCTGTCGGTAGACCTACGTTAAGTATGATTGCCGTAAAGATAACTGGACAACGTGGCTGATTATGCCATTGTCTTTCATGCATGTATATGTGAACGGTGCTCTTTCTTGGAGTGAGGATGGTGACAGCTCATAGTTATTTTTTTAAGTATTGTGCAATTGCAAACAGTAGTCACTTCAGGTATGATCAGATTATTGTTGACAGCTGGTCACACCAGTTGTCGTCGTAAGGAGAGTCCCAGATAGGCCCATCAAATTGGTTCGCTGCTGTTCAGTTGAAATTATGCACATGTATGTTATATATAATCATCATAAGATGATGAAGCGGATCCTAGTCAAATGATTGGTTGAGAGCGTACACGTGACCAGTAGTAATTTTACTAATGACCGGTTATTAGTCAATACTTATGACCGGTCATTGGTGTAATCATGTTATAAAACATCATTTTATAAAACAAATGAAACAACATCTTCTAAAACAAATAATACACATCATTTTGTTCGGGTATTCAGTGAAATTACCCACAGTCGGTACCTTCGAAACAGTCCAAACACCCTCGGCTATCGCCTCGGGCGTGTTAGACTGTCCCAAAGGTACCTTATGAAGGTAATTCTTACTGATGCCATAACTGCTATGTATTAAATGTATACTTATACGGGTTTAAAAAAAAAAAAATATGGTTAAAAAAAAAAAATTCTGACACACGTATCATATGAACTTTGTTGACCACAACATGTCAGAATGTAATAGTGTACACTTGTAACATCTGAGAGAGAGGCGTCATTGCATGACAAAAGAAAAGATCTGCGTGTATCTATAAGAACTTCACGGCATCAACTATTTTGTGAAGAGTAACGACTATGAATATTATACAAATAATACACATCAGTGAGGTCATTAGTAAGAATTACCCGCACGAGGTACCTTTGAAACAGTCTAACACGCCCGAGGCGATAGCCGAGGGCGTTTGGACTGTTTTGAAGGTACCAAGTGTGGGTAATTTTACTAATGCCCGAACAAAATGATGTGTATTATTCGTTTTATAAGATTATGTTTTATTTGTTTTAATAAAATGATGTTTTCTAACATGATTTTGATCATGACCGGTCATTACCCAAATTAAGCGAGATTACGCGTTAGGCAAAATAAATGCCTGGTCATGTGTACGCTTTCA